TAAGTTTGTGTCCAGTTTGTTGTTGTGGTTGGGGACCACATAAGTTTGTGTCCAGTTTGTTGTTGTTGTTGTGAACCGCATAAGTCTATGTCCAGTTTGTTGTTGTGGTTGTGGACCACGTAAGTTTGTGTCCAGTCTGTTGTTGTGGTTCTGGACCACATAAGTCTGTGTCCAACATAAGTTTGTGTCCAGTTTGTTGTTGTGGTTCTGGACCACATAAGTCTGTGTCCAACATAAGGTTGTGTCCAGTTTGTTGTTGTGGTTGTGGACCACGTAAGTTTGTGTCCAGTTTGTCGTTTGGTTCTGGACCCCATAAGTCTGTGTCCAGTTTGTCGTTTGGTTCTGGACCACATAAGTCTGTGTCCAGTTTTTTTTTGTGGTTGTGGACCACATAAGTTTGTGTCCAGTCTGTTGTTGTGGTTGTGGACCACATAAGTCTGGGTCCAGGTTGTTGTTGTGGTTGTGGACCACATAAGTTTGTGGCCAGTTTGTTGTTGTTGTTGTGAACCGCATAAGTCTGTGTCCAGTTTGTTGTTGTGGTTGTTGACCACATAAGTTTGTGTCCAGTTTGTCGTTTGATTCTGGACCCCATAAGTCTGTGTCCAGGTTGTCGTTTGGTTCTGGACCACATTAGTCTGTGTCCAGTTTGTTGTTGTGGTTGGGGACCACATAAGTTTGTGTCCAGTCTGTTGTTGTGGTTGTGGACCACATAAGTCTATGTCCAGTTTGTCGTTTGGTTGTGGACCACATAAGTTTGTGTCCACTTTGTTGTTGTGGTTGTGGACCACATAAGTTTGTGGCCAGTTTGTCGTTTGATTCTGGACCCCATAAGTCTGTGTCCAGTTTGTCGTTTGGTTCTGGACCACATTAGTCTGTGTCCAGTTTGTTGTTGTCGTTGTGGACCACATAAGTCTATGTCCAGTTTGTCGTTTGGTTGTGGACCACATAAGTTTGTGTCCAGTTTGTTGTTGTGGTTGTCTATTTCCAGTTTATTGTTGTGGTTGTGGACCCCAGAAGTCTGTGTCCAGTTTGTTGTTGTGGTTGTCTATTTCCAGTTTGTTGTTGTGGTTGTAGACCATAAAGTTTGTGTCACGTTTGTTGTTGTGTTTGTGGACCACATAAGTCTATGTCCAGTCTGTTGTTGTGGTTGTGGACCCAATAAGTCTGTGTCCAGTTTGTTGTTGTGGTTGTGGACCATAAAGTTTGTGTCACGTTTGTTGTTGTGGTTGTGGACCACATAAGTCTATGTCCAGTTTGTTGTTGTGGTTGTGGACCACATAAGTTTGTGCCACATAAGTTTGTGTCCAGTTTGTCGTTTGATTCTGGACCCCATAAGTCTGTGTCCAGTTTGGCGTTTGGTTCTGGACCCCATAAGTCTGTGTCCAGTTTGTTGTTGTGATTCTATACCTCATACGTTCGTGTCCAGTTTGTTCTTGTGATTCCTGACCACATAGGTTTTTGTCTAGTTTTATTGTCGTGGTTCATTTGTATTTCCTTTACTTTGCTGTCTCTTTTGTTCTTTTTTAGGCTTTTGTATCATCGAGGTAAACATATCTCTGATATTATCTGTAGTTATAAACATAACTGAATTTGAAACGTAAACTATATGGGTTACTAATGAACGGAGCCCAACAAACAGCAGGAAGATTCTTGAAGCAGGTTCTTTGGATACAAAATCCGATTACCAACAGTTAGCAGGAACAATCTTTCAGCAGGTTCTTTCGATATAAAATTGGGTTACCAACAGTTAGCTGGAACAATCTTTAAGCAGGAACTTTCGATACAGATAAAACAAAACACACACAAATAGCTAGAAAATATCCATATACAGTTTGGAAAAAATATAAAAAGAAAAACAATTGCGAATTTCGATTATTTGCTTTCCAAATATGTTTTTATATTTGTGATGTAGTTATTGTGGTTTAATGTTTTTTCTCAATATAAAATTTGTTATTTTTCCACTTGCAAATAATGTATGATGAGAGACTGAGATTTAGAGTCGGAAATAACTACTGGAGGATGCCATTTAAAATCATTCGATATGTAATTGTGTTAAAAAACATATGCGTGATGATCCAACAGCTGATACAAAAGGATGTATCTGATAACATTTGTAACAACCTGATTTATATTGACCTTAAAACATCCTGAAGGATTTGTTTTTGTTGTGAAGGAGGAACTATTCTTTATTTAATGGAGAAGGGGTTCCCGACTCAGATGCAATGCATTGATCAGTAAATAATGGTTATGAATAAAGAAAAATATTTCGGAAATGAAACTATATATGTTGTTCAATTATCCAATACGGTATATCAGCTGAGAAGCTGTGTGAAGTCATTGTATACTAAACTAGGATGCGATATGAATTGTGTACAGAATGATCCCCCAGTGATAATGTGGCAACCCCAGTAATTTGTAAAGTAAATGTCAGACTATACATTCAGTTCTGAAACATCCGGACTTTTTTGTATGCAAAATGTCAGACAGTAATATCACAAACCTTTTTGTTACCCAAGTTGAATGAAGTGATATTTTGTATGTTGCATGACAGTGACATTACAGAGATTTCCCGTAGATATTAAGTAGATGTTTTTGTCCCGCGGAAACATTCCCTCATGACAAGTTAACATAGTTATACTTTTAAAACTATTGATTGTTTAACAAAATCTAAATTGAAGATGACACCTGCCAAAACCAGAACAGTTTTAAATAATTCTAAATGTTAAATTTTAAATCTTACGATTCTTATCCTGTATTATTTCATTTTTTTTTTTATTAAAAACAAATAAATAAAAAAAAACACGTGCATCACCATGACAATTTCTCTTTAAACTTTTATAAACGTAATAGTTCAAGAGTTAATATAATATTGAAGAAAGGATATCCTGTTTGGGAACATTTACTATTGTGATAGATATGCTGATACCTCATCACCTGCTAGACTTCGTGATATCTTTCGTAGATTAATGGAATCTTATATCTCAACCTGAGAGTAAGGTTTTGGATTTTTGTTACGAGGCTTTTGATTATTTTCTTCCACACTTTCCTACAAAAGTTAAAATGGTGAACCAAGTGCATCGCGCCATCAGCAAGGGCACATGGAATGTGTAGCAGAAATGATGACGTAACCCTGAGAACGCCGCATAAAGTGATGACACAATGGGGACATTTTCAGAATAATAGCGTGTGTGAGCTTTCTCTTCTCTGGGTAGGAAAAGAGAAGATTTTATCCTTTCCTTGCAAAAAAGAGAGTGTACCTGTGAGGCGTGGCAGAAAATAAGCATTTGTGTTGTTTATGTTATCTTGTTTTCTCTCGGTGCTAGATAAGATGAGTGGGTATCAATCGGCATTTTCGTTACATGGTTTTTCCATCATCACAGTGTAACGCTTGTTATCATAACAACATGTAAATGTTCTGGACACTGAAAACGGAGCAAGTTGTAGTGGCTATTTACGTGTTTCTGAAAGATCAGTGAACAACTTCAAGTCACCAACAAAAATAATAGTAATTGCAATCCCTGAGACCTCGAAATAGAAACTAAGAATACTGGCTCCGTTTACCTAGACCTAACCAGTGGTTAGAGAAAAATATAAAAATACTTACTAGAAAATCAAGATATCATTTTACTGCAATAGATTTTTTGAGACATATTAGATCGATGTATCGTGAGGATTTATTTTGCGTTGTATGCCTTAGTATCTGATTGACAACAATTTGAATTTTTCACTGGCCACTGGTTATCCAACATTTGAGCAACAATAGCCTGGTAGCCGCTTGCCTCTGAGTAACACTGCACACAAAACAAGCAACAATTACTTACTACTGTTTTAGTGCGATACTGAAAGACTGGGGGAAAATATATATACTTGGACGTACTTTCATAAACACAGCACACATAAGATATGCTTTATTTTCACTATTTCAAAAAAATACACCAACACAACAAATAGGCAAGTAAAACTTTATTTCAATAACTAAGATACATATTTTTTCAGTTTATTACAAAAAAAAATATGCAATGGACAGGAAACAATTTCATTTCAACAACACCTGTGTCATTGTCTCTACCAAAATCCATATACAGCAAATGCTCATGTTCACTAAATGTGACTATTTGGTATTCTACTTAAATCTCAATATGTGTTATGTGCCTCACTTAACAAGATTTTTGGAATTGGTAATATGATGGCTGCTTCTACTAACGTGATAGAGGAGGGTATCGTGGAGTTATAGTGGTTCATTTGGTTTCTATGATCAACACAGAGATACAATGCGTGAGGTCGAAATGACTTTGACAAAGAGATTGACGAACACTCCGTCAGCGGATGGTGGTGTGTCATAGAAACAGATGAGGGTAATTAGTGACTATATCTACGATGACATTTTAGCTCACGTGACCAGGCAATGTATATTACCAAATAATTATCTATATCAAGGCAATGGTAGTGGAAAATGTACAGAGCATTAGAGTAGTTCATTGACATCTATAATAAGGCTTGTCTGGACAAATGTACATGCACAATCCATGGTTAGCTTAGCGTCAAGTAATCGCTTTCCCCCCACAAGAACTTCTAAAAGTGTATGTTAACAATTAATATACAACACTGTTAGCTATATAGGATGTTTTTCTTTGCATGCACAAAACTCCGGTGATCAAATGGCACTTTTCATGTTTCACAAAAGGTCATATTTAAAAGTTAAAATTAATGCGCAATTACCATCTTTCTTTATTTTTTGAGAGGAAAATGAGCTAGCTGCACATTTTCTACACTTACTACAACCAGAGGAAATACCTTAACTGGTGTCGTAATATCATGTACAATTAGTTATCGGTTTTATGTAAGGAAGGTGTCGGGTGGAAAATCGTATTGGAAATTGATAAACTTGACATACAGCTGACAAGACTTTGAATGACCGTGGGATGCTGTTGTGTGTGATTTACACACCAGCCCTTCCTCGCGTGAGTAACCCCTTCTACACGTTTAGTTTGCAGCGGGGCACCATGATCTAACCAGACAGTGTTGAATGGGATGTCAAAACGATTCCTTTGGTGTTTATTGAGTGTAAGAAAACCACTTTAGAAGGATGAACGTATAATGATATACTACTGCGATCATCTCTAGGGAGATAGAAATGATGAACTACTACGTTTGTACGGGCTACAGAATGGAAATTATGCTTTATCATAAGTGATTTTATGTGAACGTATCGGATAAAAATGTATTTCAAAGAAACTGGTGCGATTTAAATGTGTTTTTATGGCGAAAACCAACGTGAGGTTTTGCTAATGCCAGTAATTTATATCCTCCCGGGGCAAAATATGATTCTCCGTTGATCTTCCTCAAAGGTGGGTAAACATAGTTGTCGATTATTTCCGTTCATTATTAGCAAACGATGTATTTTCTTTCATTTTTCTATCAATACTTACTTTTTTTGCCCTTTGTACTTATTCTGAGTTTAGATTCTGTCCAGTGTATTGACGATGCGTTACTTTTTATCCCTTTTTTTCTCTCCTTTGTTTTACCTCCGACTTGTTGGACAAACCTTTCAGGAGTTAGTAAACATGTTATTCAATTGTTCAGCCTTTTAATTATGACGACAATTGTGATGTCATGCTTCATGACAACAGGTATCTACCGTTTTATTCGCTAAATCAAGTATTATTTGCGACAGTTAATAATACAATTTCCTTGTTGTTGTCTGCTTTTTCCGATCTTACAGTACTAACGACACATTATAATGATACTAAAATCTACTCGAAATAAAGTTGAAAAATAGACGATGTTACAAAAAATATTGCAAGTTTTTTTCAAATTCTGTACTAGTATGGTTTATCTCACAATGATAGAAAAATATTTGGATTATAACACATTATTACTTCTTTTTGTAGTACAACCTTCCCATTATTGCACAATCTTTCCAATTTAGTGTAATCTTCCCATTGTAGTATTACCTTCCCATTATAGTAAAACCTTCCCAATATATTTAAACCTTCCCATTAAAGTAAAACATTCCCATTATAGTATTACCTTCCCATTATAGTAAAAACTTCCCATTATATTAAAAACTTCCCATTATATTTAAACCTTCCCATTATAATAAAACATTAACATTATATTTCAACCTTCCCATTATAGTAAAACCTTCCCATTATAGTAAAAACTTCCCATTATAATAAAAAAAAAAACATTATTTTAAAACCTTCCCATTATATTTAAACCTTAAACTTTCCCATTATAGTTAAACCTTCCCATTATATTTAAACCTTCCCATTATATTTAAACCTTCCCATTATAGTAAAGCCTTCCCATTATAGTTAAACCTTCCCATTATGGTATAACATTTCCATTATAGTATTACCTTCCCGTTATTGTACATTCTTCATATTATAGTACAATCTTGTTATTTAAGTAAAATTTCCCTATTATAGTACGTACAACCTTTCTACTATTGTATAATCTTCTTATTTAGGCTCAAACTTCCTATTGTAGTACAATCGTTCTATCATTGTATAACAATCTTTTATTAAAGTATAATCTTCCTATAATAGTTCAATTTTCCTATTATAGTTCATCCTTCTCATTATAGTACAACCTTCCTATTATAGTACAGCATTCCTATTCTTATAAAAATCTTTCAATAATTTATGTATTTTAATCCTCTTTAATGGTACATTGATCCTTTTATAACATAACCTTCCCACAATATGATCGTCTCCTTATAACGTGATTTTTTATTTTTTTATTATAAAATTAAATCGTTTTTATGGTAGAAAAGGGTTCATCTGTAAGAACATAAACTTCCTATTAAAGTACATGTATGCTTATCCTATGCGTTTGCTGTATCATTACATATATATTTCTCTCTTGCCTATAATAGAATAATCTTTAAACATTGACATATTTCTTTTTATATTGCCACAGTTCTATAATAAAGAGTGATGTTTAATGTACTGAAGGCATAATGTGTTTTAATATTATTTAAAATAGATTGAGAAAGGTAAGATTCCAACCTTTCCCAAGTTTCACTGAAGATTTTCCATACAAAAGCATCACATAACTTAAAATTTCCCTTAACTGCACCAATGCTAATCTAACGGTTAACGGAGCTCCCCGAGTGATATACCATTCTTGAAACTTGAGCCAGGTGTTATAAGTATTAAACTATATGAGTTTCCCCATTATTCTGTAAAACCATTTAGGCTTATCCACTATAGCTTCAGTCTGCGTACCTTACGTGGCAGGTGAGTGTTCCTGTAATAAAAAAAATAGGCTGCTACGTGAAACAATCTTTGTTCTACTCTCGTATTTTGGGTTGAAACTGAAGTATGTTTTTTGAACATTTGCTGTAAACACTAAAGCCTGTCTGGATATGAGCCAACAGTCTGTATACTATCCTTACCAGACGCCTAATCAATCTATTTGTCTATCGCTTGGCATTTAAATTCAAACTTAAATAGTGCATGATTGACACGCCGTTTAATGATTTGTGCTTAAAGCTGTTTACAAAATGGCAAAAATCCTTTCTAAAGCAGTATTATTTTAACGAAATAGTTTATTTTAATATTTGCTGATACCGGTTTTGGATAATCACAAGACTAATACACTGTGTAGATGGTGACTGTTGCTATTGAAATACAGTTTGATCTATTTTCTTCAATTCCATATACTCTTGTTCTTTTCTATGATATTTCGGTTGAGACCTTAAGTCCTACCTATGACGTCAACAGATAACATCAGTACTGACTGTAAAGTAATTTTGTTACAGTTTCTGCGTTATTGAATCCTCCTAGCACACATACTGCTCACCGATTTTCTACGGCGCAGCAGTGTATGGCACAATGTGTTGGTGGGCAGTAAAGACTATATCACGTTATGTTACTCGTGGAAAATGTTACGTAAGAACGTAACATTACTCAATAAAAAATGGATTTAAGACATTTTTGAAACATAATAATTCATATTTAAAATGCAAAACATATTGCAGTATAATTTGCAATATCGTTATCAAGATCTTGCTTTTTTCTCGTATAAGTACTATTACGTCCTCTCCTGAAAGATAACATCCGATAATGTCCTAAAATGTTTGCCAAAAGGCTGGAAGTTTTAATCTTAGTCTCAAACCTCGTCTGCCAATTTCACTCTCGGTCTCAAACCTCGTCTGCCAATAGGCTAGGAGTTTCACTCTCGGTCTCAGATCACGTCTGCCAATAGGCTGGGAGTTTCACTCTCGGTCTCAGACCACGTCTGCCAATAGGCTCGGAGTTTCACTCTCGGTCTATAACAACGTCTGCCAATAGGCTTGGAGTTTCACTCTCGGTCTCAGACCACGTCTGCCAATAGACTGGGAGTTTCACTCTGGGTCTCAGAACACGTCTGCCAATAGGCTTGGAGTTTCACTCTCGGTCTTTGACCACGGTTACCAATAGGCTTTGAGTTTTCTTCTTGGTATCAAGCTGCCTTTCTTTCCAGAATTGAAGTCCCTCGAAACCACGCCTGTCTCCAGACTGGAAATGTCCCTCTGGTCTGAAATCTACGTCTGTATCTTGCATGTGAGTGCTTCGGTCTCAAGCCACGTCTGTATCTAGGCTATAAGTTTCTCTCTCAGTCTCAAGCCATGCCCGTATCTAAGCTATATGTTTCTATCTCAGTCTCAAACCACGCCTGCATCTAGTCTTTATGTTTTCTCTCTCAGTCTCAAGCCACGCCTGTATCTTGGCTGTTTGTTTCTCTCTCAGTCCCAAGCCACGTCTGTATCTAGTATCGGATTGTCTCAAATGTCGTTGCTATTTGGCTATTTGTCTGTCACATAGTTTTATGTTTCAGAACGTTTGCGTAACACAAATGATCTAGCACAGCGACATCTATTTCATATCTCAGGAAATTATGCTATTTATATGGGGGTGAGAAGGTCGATGTTTTCATTATGCTCATTTGTGTGCCTTGTGATTTTGTCCTCACTATCCGAGTCCTCGATATAAAGACATAAAGTTACTAAAATTTGATCTAGATTTTAACAATAGCAGGTGTCGTCGATGAATCAGAATATGCTTACCCATCCGGAATATCTGGTCTTATTTTCCAGATTTTTTTTTAGGGTCGCCATGTAAATCTTTTCTTTAAGTTAAGTTAAGTTAAGTTAAGTTTATTTCCGGTTCAGGACTAGTGAAAGTCCTCTATACCAGACTCTTATATTACACAATACATAAATTTGTTAACGGATGTGTTGTAAATTCAGAATTACACAACAGCTTCATTGCATATCGACCCTGCATGTCTTATGTATGGCTGGATACTGTTACGTGCTTGCTATATACGTGTATTATCAGATTGACACCTATTAATATCATCTTTATTCTTGGATAGGTAACTTGAAGTGACACTATGCCGGAAAATAGTGGCGCAATGGACTTAAGACTAACAGACTTCCGGGAGAAGTACAGACTAGCCGATATCGATGACACGGAGCGGAATTCACCACCGGACCAGAACGGCATGCAGTGTCAAAACAAGACTGGGCAAACGAAAAGAAAATGTTCTAAGTATAAAAGACCAACTATGGACGTGGTTCTAACGGAGTTTTCAGACTCCACGACGCTACACGGTCTGCGCTATATCGCTATGAGTGATGCGTTCTTCTTCCGGCGGTATGTATATAGACCAGTTTATTTAGCATCAAACTTCAAACTGACGGGGGGGGGGGGGGGTGGAGGAGGAATGGGGGAGGGGTGTTACCCAACGCCCCTCAACCCTGGGGGCCTCCATCATTTTTATCTCTAATCTCTATATGTTCATATAAATACATCGATAAGAATTATGTATATATGCACATGGAAATCTGTTGCTGAGGAATTAAATTTCGTTTTTTTAAACATAAAAAAAAAAAATAACCTTACTCCCTATTTTTTATGTTGCTCATTGGCAGTTCAGGACAACGTATTGTCTTTCATCTTATAATGTTGTTCGGGAGAGACGTGAAGTCTAATAAAACAACCAATTCAACTACATCGCTTATACGCTACTCTTATTGTTATTTATTTTAAAATTTAAAATGTTTCTTCATTTAATTCGGTCATAGTAATCATAAAGAGACCACTTTAAAATTTTCTAAAAATAAAGAATGAAATAAGAAATTAATAATATATTTTAAATGTATAATATTATAAAAATTCAATAAAGAAAGCAATTAGCATTCAAGATAGTTTGGAAATTTGAAAGAAAAGAAAACGACTTTTGATACGAAAACTAATATGTCTAATTTCACGACAATTCATTCTTAATGAATCTTTTTCGCATACCTGATGTCCCGTTCCCACCAGAGGAAAATCATCAGACGTATTTGGTCGGATTTGGTGCGAATTGATTTCCCTGTAGACATATTATCGTGACTGGCAATTGTGTAGGAAGCATGCGTAATACATCTATTGACATAATGAGAAAATCAAAATCGGATTATTGATATGGTAAGGAACAATAGGACGGACTGTAACGTGAAGGCATTCTATTAACAGACATACCTGTCAGACAAACATAAAGCAATCAACGGCCTCCCGTTATTCCACTCTTAGCACTATCATGCTCCTACGTTTTGTTTTATCTGATAAGTCACCTCTTCTCTATGAGGTCATAGCTGTACGAGAACATGTGTTTGCTTACATCCCATCAGTCTTGTAACGTTACCTGTTGTGAAAAATACTCTACAATAGCATATTAATCATTAGATGAGTCATCACGTGATGATTATAGAAAACTCTACCCCAACTAACTGATTTACAGGACGTGTTGCGTAGTCAATTATAAAGGTATTATCTTAGAGATAAAATTAATTGCACATTTCATCTGTTTTTGTGGGCTTGACATCATTTCTCGACAGGTGCTCGTCTGCAGCCAGATATAAATAATAAGATAACACCGGGTATTATTTAATGGTAAAGAGGGGTCATCTTGCTCATTACAGTTCACAATTGGTCTGGAGTGGATGTTGCGGTATCTTTGCTGTAGCATTCAAGTGAGGTGGCACTATAAATTATGCCGTTGAAAGCACGGTCCCACTACAAACAGAACACATTACATTTCCAGCACACACGCAGGCATACACACATAGGGAGATATTAGCCAGGCGGCATAGGACTAGTAGTTAGCGCATGCTAAGGCAGCTCCTGCGAATTCCTCAAAACAAATGTATTGCTTAATGTACAAGGTATATGTTAATTGTATTAATTGTATATCTATGTACTGTAAAGCGCTTTAGAGTGGCTTTTGTTAGCTTGATAGGGCGCTATATCAAATGCTGTATATTATTATTATTATTATTATTACAATAGGGAGGAGTGGTCCATACTTAAGTGGTAGTCTAGCATGTTTTCACAAACTTTGGCAAATGATTTGAGAAGAAATATATAACAACACTCAGTATGAATATATGTTTGTATACATTTAGACATCGTCTCTAATTCTCTGTTTTGTATAAACAAGACAGTCTAAACAGGGTTTCAATGAAAACTGTCCTTACGTGAAGTAAACAATTAACTGAAAATAGCCATTAGTTTTTGTTATTGTAAAAAGAATCCCACGTTATTCAATTAAAATATATGTATGAAAGGTACGGTAAACAGGACCACACTAAACTCAACATGTTTGTGATTATCATTTAGTATGATAAACAGAATCTCACTTCATCCAAATGTACTCATAACGCATACTAACTTACCTGCAGTCTGGCTGGTAAACCTCCAAATGAACTTCATAACCTGTGCAGATTGTAGACTGATTTGGAATCTCCTGTATCGTACTGCTAAACTAAATATAGAAATGTCTACATCACCTTCTTTACGTTTTGATAATGAAATTCTCTTCATTAAGGATATACTAGTTGATCCATATACTTTTGTATTGCATTTGAAATGTTATATTACTGATTTGGATGCACGAGAGCATTTCACATATTGAACTGATCAGCAAATTTCAAGATACACCTGCATCTTTTATGTTTCCATAATCCGAAGTTCATGGTTGATAACTAGAAGTTGGCATGTATGATGACTCGGGCTAATTAAGGGTCCTTCTAGATTCACTTAAATATAACTATCGTTTGATACGTATACTTTAAAAGTGTCTCCCGCTTCACCCAGTAAACCTATGATCATTATGGTCTGATACTAATGGCCGGATCCTTCCTCTTTCAATATGTATGTAGTTATGGTTTAGTTTGGTATACAATGTCCTTCTTAACTCAATATACATGCAGCTATGGTTTGGTCTGGGAAACAGCGTCCAACTTCATTTAAACTATATATTTTATATTTTTTGCTAAGGGAAGTGGGTATTAGGGTCCCAGGATACACTAAATATGTGTACATATTACTATGGGTCTGTCTTAAATCCATATGTATATACATATAACTATGGTAGTTAGGTTTTGGCTTAACTAACTCAATATGTAAATACATATAACTATGGAAGTAAGGGTTCGTCTTAACTCAATATGTATATACATATGGTAGTTAGGGTCTGGGTTAACTCAATATGTATATTCATATAACCATGGTAGTAAGGGTCTGGCTTAAATCAATGTGCATATACATATAACTATGGTAGTTAGGGTCCGGCTTAACTCAATATGTATATACATATAACTATGGTAGTTAGGGTCCGGCTTAAATCAATATGTATATACATATAACTATGGTAGTTAGGGTATGGCTTAAATCAATATGTATATACATATAACTATGGTAGTAAGGGTCTGGCTTAAATCAATATGTATATACATATAACTATGGTAGTTAGGGTCCGGCTTAACTCAATATGTATATACATATACTTATGGTAGTTAGGGTCTGGCTTAAATCAATATGTATATACATATAACTATGGTAGTAAGGGTCTGGCTTAAATCAATATTATATACTTATAACTGTGGAAGGTAAACAAGATCTTGCTTCATTCGTTATAATATAAATAATTCAATAATTGAATTGATATTACTATTTAGTATAATTTTAAACAGGACACGTATTTAGTAGATATATATGTATTGTTGTGTATAGTTAACAAACACCAACTGTCAGTAAACATATAACTATAGTAGGTAAACAAGATCTTGCTTATTTCGTTATAATATAATTAAATAATACAATAATTGATATAACTATATAGCATCATTTTAAACAGGACACGTATTTAGTAGATATATATGTATTGTTGTGTATAGTTTACAAAAACCAACTGTCATAACTATGGTAGGTAAACAAGGTCTTGCTTCATTCGTTATAATATAAATAATATACAATAATAACTATAACCATGGATTGCCATCTTTAACAGGACACGTATTCACTTTATTTATGCATAAGTATTGTTGTTATGGTAAACAGGAACCAACTGTACTCAGTATACATATACCTATGGTTTGATAGGATCACACTCCACTCAGTGTTAAAGACCGGTATTAAGTTGCAGCTTTACAACTGATGTTATATAAATGTTTATGGCCCCTTAATTACACCAGGAAGTTCCTTTTCCACTTGAATACAAACTGCCGACTGGCAACTGTTCACCAGAACATAACGCTCCTCTTTACCTATTTTACATGATGAAATCTGCATGTTAGCATTTTTGATGAATGCACATCATGTGCGGTGCACATGTGCTACCCTGGTAGAAGCACAACATGGTATGTCTTTGATTTCTTTAGTGCAATATATGTAAACTAAATTTGTGGGGGTTTTCCCAGTTTATCTTGCATGTTATGAAGTGTTTAGTTAATTAATTCGAAACGCTCGTATCTTGAGAAATCATTCAGGGATATTATACATATAAAAAGAAATTACTTCCATGATTGTGAATTTGCCAATAAAATAAAGTCCCAATATTATAAAAAAACGATAACTGTAAAATTTGGTTTGCGAAACTAAAACAAACAATTAACAAATTATTATTTATTATAAAAAGTCGATTGTATCAAACACATTACAATTAATGGACAAAGTTGGCTGCTTAAATATATTAACTTCATTGACATTTTTGGGAAACTCATTATGTCTTTTTTTTTTTTTTTTTATTGACCTTCGTTCCAATTTTGTCTTTGCGTATTGACCGCGTAATAAACTCTATCCTCTTTTGTCTTTGTGAGTTTACCTGTGATACATTTCCCCCTATTTTTCTATGTGTAATGACCGTGTGGTGCATTTTACCTTATTTCGTCTTTGTTTATCGACAATGTTATAAATCCCCCCTTGTCTTTGTGTATTAACCGTGTAGTAAATTCTTCCCTCTTTTGTCTTCGTTTATCGATCGTGTGGTAAGTTCTTCCCTATTTTGATGCAGTACAAGTAAAGAAAATTAATTGAAATCGTTACAGCCATATTCCGCATAAACTACTAATGCTTGATGAAGTCATTATCAAAATGTTAATAAAACCCCATAAACCCTCGTGTAATCTGTCGTCATAGAATGATACTATAAAGATCGGTATCATTGCTACGTTTGCTACTTTTATCTGGTTTTCCACATATTATGATAATATGATTAATTCTTTAACTGCTTTTAAAATGTTTTCTCTATGTTACTCAGCTGTACCATACTAGGAACACTTCAGAAACACTTATTTACATTATATTATCGAATCATACTTCAGTTTACCTCTAGTTAATTTAAATCTATTGCAAAGCCAAAACGTCATTTTTATCGCACGTTATTATAATATAAAATCTTCACAATAATTCGTCTTTGTTCCGTGATATAATGGTATATTTTGTCGTGTTGTGTGGTGACGCTAGGTTATACTTTGTCTTGTGTATATATAAGGCGGTATACATTGTCACTGTGTTGACGATTTGGTATATATTGTCTACGTGTATTTACACCTGGATACAATTTTTACCCAGTGTAATTATTCTTTGTTATTTTTTTTTGTGTTGGTGTGTTGACGCTTTGGTATATTTTGTCCTTGTATGTTAACTATCTGACATTGATTGCCCTTGATATAGTGGTGTAGTTTGTCCTTGTGCTGATGCATTTTTAATGTTATAGTTTGTCTTGGTATATTGACATGGTGCTTTATAGATACTAACCTTGGCTATTGACGCTGTGATTCATTTCGCTCCTTTACATTGACGCTGTGTTATATTTGTACCTGCGTGTTGGTATGTTTTCTTATTGTGGATTGAATCTGTGATATATTTTTTGTGGTATCTTTTCCTCTAGTGTGTTGAATCTGTGATATATTTTTTGTGGTATCTTTTCTTATAGTGTGTTGAATCTGTCATATATTTTTTGTGGTATCTTTTCTTCTAGTGTGTTGAATCTGTGGTATATTTTTTATGGTATCTTTTCTTCTAGTTTGTTGAATCTGTGATATATTTTGTCCGTTCAAGATTTTGCTTGATTATATCTTGTCCTGGTATTTTAACGATATGCTAATATGTTGATCTTTAATGTTGACGCTAAGTTAAATGTTATCGATGTGTTGACGCTTTGTAATATTTTGTCCTTCTGTTTAGACATAATGTTATATTTTGTCCTGGCATGTTAACGTTGCAGTATATTCTTTTTCTTTGATGTCGAAGCTGTAGTTAATTTTGAACGTTTGCGTTGACTGTGGTATATATAAAACATATTACTGTTGAGTTCCATCACTATCAATCCATAGTTCATATTTTTGCTAACAGTACTTAGATAACTACATACTTTATGTATATAATGTGTTTATAAAATACCACTCATGTGCGTGACTCATAATATACATTTTGCACGTAATTTGTTTTAATCTGAAAAAATACATTCTTACGTATGATTAAACTACAATTTTACAGCTCAGATAGATGAAATGAAATAGCATGTGGTTAATGTGACTCTGGGTTATTTATTATTTTAGCTATGGAAATGGTTTGTCTAATTTCTCTTTGTGTATATTGAATTTGCTTTATATTCGGTTGGAACGCGTAACCTTCATATTTCCCCTTCTATTCATTTTCAATAATTTTCGGAGAATATTATTGTATCTTGTATATTCTATTATTGAAATCATTTCCTGAAGTAGTGTCTATGAAGTATCAGCGATATAATATGTCTATATTAATGTGTATTTAAACATTAACATATATTACATGATACGGAAGTTTGCTAGGTGTCACCCGACAAAATTGAAAGCAAATTATCCCAAAGACAGTCGAAGCTCAATATAATAAAGGAAATTAATTTGATAAATATGAGATGGATGATTGAGAAAGCCTGGGTAGCTAAGATTAAGCTGGATATATCCACTGCCTTAAACTACTTTATACTTCTTTTATTTATAGGTCGGTTTGGTTTCTGCTTGTCCTGGTGTGTTCCGGTGTGATGACCTTCCAGATTGTAGACAGAATTATGTACTACTATGACAACCCCGTCAATGTCAATGTCAAGATCAACTATAACCAATCGCTGTACTTCCCTGCTGTCACACTCTGCAACCAAAACACGTTCAGGTAAGGTCAATACCAAGGTCAACTATATCAGGCTGCTGTGTTTGTCCGATGTCATCATCTTTGACAAAAACATTAAGATAATGTGAATATCAAGGTCACCAATTTCTAGTCGCTGTACTTCCCTGTCATACTCCACTGTAACCAAAACTTATTCAGACAAGGTAAAAAAAGTCACAAATACCAAGATGTTGGAAATCCCTGTCTCACCCTCTCCGATCAAACTACATTCAGGTAAGTTCAAGATCAAGGCCATCTATACACTGTCGCATAATTAAACGTTCAGGTTATTACTAAGCAAAAGTCAGCTGTACCCAGTCACCGGCACCCTCAATAACAAGACAACACATGAATAAGGTCATGCTTAGCCATGCTCAGTTAATGTTAAAATCAACTTCTGTGACCTGAAACCATACAGGTTATGTAAATGCCAAATTTACCCAGACAATGTACTGTTTGATTAACCAAAAAGCGTCAAGGTGTAATTCAATGTTAACTATATGCAGTCCTCTGCATCGCATCACCAATTTTCTTCCTCAGTATGTAGAAAGCGTCATCGCACGTTTTAGATATATCACATATCACACTGTTGTCCAAATCAAACATATTTTAATATCTTCCTTTTGGGACAAATATACATGCTTTTGTTTGCCTGAATATATGATTTGGATGTCCTGTTTCCTATTTCTTTATCATTTTATATACTAGTACACTGTTAAGTTGGATGTAAGGTACATTTAGTATGTGATAACTATTATTAAAAGCTTTGTAATTTTCAGTATAAATTTAGAACGTGAACATTTGATAAGATAACATGTTGTCAGAGACCCAGCCATGGGGTATCAACATATATACCGGTAGTTTATGTAGTTTATGCTCCGTCTATCAGCTTATAATCATGATTTACATTGAGAGTTTGATACTGACATGTCTCATACTATGGATGACAGACACGGAACGCAAATTTATACTTCACGAGCGAATCAAGGGGTCGTGAAAGATTTACCAGATTCTCTTTACAGTCTATGTTTTAATTATAAGGTGATATACTATTTGTATTGCTATTCTGTATATAAACGACCCTGTATGTTTAACGATACATAACGCGGTCATAGCTTCAATCAATACTTGGGGAAATAATATGGCCGTCAAATTACATTCATTTCAACTAAATGATGTCAGAGTCAGATTGATTAAAGATATTTCAACTTATGTAAGATTGTTAGGGTACCGACTAGTATATATTTGATTTCACTATAAACACAATGAGACGCACACAAATGATAGGAAGGGGCCACAATTAGCAGTCACCGACCTAATTGCGTAGACGTAAGTTCTGATTCTACCTTGAGACACTTGTTGCTTAGCTCAACCTGCCTAGAGTGGACCATATTATTTTCTAGGTTGGTTTGTACAGTTACTGTGATTTAAGTATTTAAGTGTTACAACACTATAAATGAGCCATATAAAACACGGGCAGATACCAAGCAGACCTCTTATACGGCGACTGTCGCATGTAGACCTCGAACCAGCGACCAAGAGATGTAGGGCTAGTGATGTTCTTCTCCTACAGCCATAGTAGGTTTCCTCACTCACGACTCTCTGGATAAAACCGCTAGGAGTAGGTAAACACTGTTTGTTGCACACTATGTTTTGTGACTTCATCTCCCACGTTTGAATTCATGGCAATGGTTTCCCTATCGGAAACAGTTTAATGTATTTCCTAGGGAAACCTAAGATTTTCCCAGATAAATATGAACGTTATGGGAAAAAACGGTTACAAAGCTCATGATATTTGGTTATCATGTCTCAAATAAAAACCAAAAAACCCGGTAAACTTAATGTCTTCATACAATTTGAAAACTAACTAACTCGAATTAGATACATATGACAACAAACCATCACTGGTTGGGGAACCTCTGTCTGTCATCCCTTGAATTTGCAGCGCATTCGAATTTTTATCCTGAAATATATTAATATGGTTAACGTAGCGCTACACATGGTTTGAAGACCGGTTGATTCGAGGTTCGTATGAACATGTTGTTTTAGTGTTTACTCGGGTTCTGCTGTTGTCTTATTCGAGATGAGTTCTTATATTATTAATGTGTTGACTTTGTAGTATTTTTGCAGTTGCTTTTTCCTAATGATTCTAAATTTGTCAAGCAATTCCAATAAGTGCTATGAAAGAAATATCACTTCGGGGGTTTCAAGAATAAGTCAATAGACAAAAACATCATGAATATGAAAGTAATGTTTTTTCTCTCTCATGTTAACCAGAACACATACACATACATTTTTACTATAGGTATAACGTCAGGGGATGAACTGGTACAAACATCATGTTTGGTTCCAAACCTCACTAACTCTGTTTAAAGGCAATCATATTTGTATATGATTTCCTGTATAATGTTTAGCGTTGGTTCATGTACGTATCGCATCTGCTCGGTAGAGACGCTTTAGTTGTAAAGATAAAAAAATGATAAACAATCACCGGATCTAAATTAGTAATTGTTTTAAAATTATTCTTCCATAAGTGTTCAGGATTGAGCTTTCAAATATCCGACTTGGAGTCAAAGTCACAAGAAACTGTGCGTAATGGTCTGTGAGACGTGCGACATTTTCAAGTGTATTTGTGACGTCTGTATTCACAATATTCACCACAATCATAATCTTGTCACGTTTGAAAGAGCTGCTGAAACAATTACTTTAACGTTTGAGGAGACTTTAATGAACGATTAATTTTGTCAACCTCCAAAAGACCTGCTGAAAGCTTGGAGTCTTAAACAAAGAAATCAATGGTGAAAACTGTGAAGAATATTTTGGACAAGCGCGACACTATTCAAACATTTCAAAAGATACTCAAGCGTGTGGAATCCTGTTCACAGAAATCTTATAATGACAACCAAAGTATGAAGAAATTTCGAGATGAAAAGCAAAGCCTTCGTAAACTTAAGGAAGTACAATCAATTTTAGAAGTTATTGAAAAAGGAAGAAATATTATCCTTGCATTCACTGTTGAGGCTTAATACATAAACAGCTACAACTTGACTTTTGCACCAAATAGCAACGTCACTAAGACGGACGTAGAAGTACTTTTTGGTAGGCTTGTACCAGAATCAGTCAGTGTGAAGTCACATGACAGAAGTACTTCAATTTCAAACTTCATCTTTACAGAAATGAGATTTTCCGTGCAAAGTATATTGTCATGGGATCTCTTTCCCACAGAGGGTTCCATTCCTAAAATAACAAAATCTGAAGACAACGTCAGTATGGCTACACCAGCGCTATCGACCTTATTTCAAATACTTACGTTCCTTTGAAACAAAGATTTGCGTTCCTGAAATGAAGTCAATGGGTACATGTTCTTGCTGGTGTAGAGCGCAGATGACACAGCCCAGTTTCTGCTATTGAACGCAGCGGGTACAATTCAAAATATTCCATTCGTGATTTCGAAATGTTTGAAAACACGTTTCTAGTGTCTTGTCCTCATCTGAAATGCATCAAACATATTCTACTAGGATCCGCCGAGTCTTCTACAAGTCTTACGTTCAACACCGCCCCTCTTACTCCCATGAATATATGCTGGTCTGCATTGGGTGGTATCCTAGAAACACTGACGGATAGCACACAGGGATCAGAACAACAAGACCCAACACCGGTACTGGTGAGGTACAGTGACAAAGATGAGGAAGTAGCCCGCTCTCAGACTCATCAGGATGAACAACTCTTGCTCGCCCATCCCGGAAAGGTGTGTGCGAATGAGGCGGGATCAATTGTGGCTGTTATAAATAACGTTTCTGCTTCACAAAAAAACGCTCTGCTTTTCGATCAAAACCTCACTCTGATCTTTCGGTATGTTGTCACCGAAGTTGCTGTTCTTGCTCATCAGCAGATATCAGAATCATATAAACAGTTTTATATAACAGATGTAATTTTTGATTGCAAAGATTCTGTATTGATTGCAGAGCACTACTCCAAGACTGTTCAAGTACTGGACAATTTTGTCAATCTCCTACAGGTTCTATCGACCGAACAAGCCAGCCCATGCTCTTTGGTCTTCCTTAATAGTGTTGAAGTATGGATAGCACTTTCAAATGCTTCCTTCAGCAGGTTTGAGCGGCATAGATTGAGCATTATTAGTCTGAATAAGGTATTCGAATGTCTTTCCAGTTGGACTGCGAGCCAAGTGGTTAGACTTCTTACCGTCAAAGATCACTAGCCTTACATCCCTTGGTCGCGGGTTCGAGGTATACATGGGACAGTCGACAGGTACTGGCCGCTTGTCGGGTTTTTTTCCTCCGGGAACCCTGACCTTCCTCCACCACCAAAATCTGCCACGACCTTAAATAACCATCCAGTAGATGTCAATAGGACGAAAACAGAAACCAGTCATTTTTTTAATGTTAACATTTCAGAAACATTTTCATACACTGAATATTTCCATTACGATGCATGATATTAAGTTGAAGTGGTATTTATTCGGCTTACATGGTTATCATTTTCAATATCAACCATTTATCGGCAGACTAAGGTATTGGTAAAGAAGTAATCAGCTACCGGTCGATCAACATTTTCCATCACTTTGATTGGATAGAATTTGAAATATTGAACGTATCGGTTGAAAGATTGATGCCCTTGCCACTGTGTCCTTTTATCATGAACACACATTGATGTGAACATTAAGACTTAGCGAGCACTCAGAATGGATTTAAATCGAAATATACCAGCATTTCAAAATATAAAAACTAAAGTGCAATGTTAGCATTGTGCATTTTTTTTAAATACATTCTTTCAATCAATTAAAGATTTTTTTCATTAACTCCAGATAATGTGTCGTTTCATAACATTCTGTGCTGCTATCATAATATGTTAAAATTTGCATAGCCATAACCATCTTGATTTAAGGCCGGTATGCCTCTCCATAGTTGGTAAGAGATGAGTTAAGCACCGGATGATTTAAGTATATAGAAATGAAATTTAGACGCTAATGTGTCATTTCGTAACATTTAGTCGGACTACAGAACAAATTGACATGCTATAATGTCAGACAACTACGTAGTGAAGACATCAGTTGTAACACCTTATTTGAGACTAATCGCTATTTTTTAATTTAATTACTTAAGGTAAGTTCAGTATATCCGAATAGCATATATTACTTCGGGGCCTTTAAATATGACTTATCGGGGGTTGAAATCTAGGGTGACCTCTATGCTTTAGGGGACTTGTTCAACGTTTAACGTCTGCCAACAACATTAGTTTTAATAAGAGCGATATTTTATTGCCTGTCAGAGGATAAACTGTACACTGCATTAGGAGTCAAATACGAAAACCAATGTACCGAGCATCCAAATGTTCAATGATGGCTACAGTACTCATATTTGCCAGGTCTGCCCGACTTAAAATGAACTACTATAGCAGTTATTCGAAACCAAACGTTCCAATGCACCTGTTCAATCTAGAAACACTTGTAAACATGACATGACATATGCTAATTCAATCGACACAGACGTGGAGCAACACTTTGACAGTATCATAGTCACAAATACTGCTCGGGACAACACTCTGCACGTAAATTTTCCCTGCGAGTCGATGACAAATTAAAGCATTAGCTCAAATATTTCACAAAGGGCAAATAACTGAAAAAAACAGTTCCTAATGCAGGAATGTTTCATTTACAAAAATTAAGATTAACATCTTATATATCAATACAGTTTAAGACGGGAAAGTTTAAATTGAACAAATGATTGTTGTCTAACTAACTTTATTATGTGCATAGGTATCGTTATACATGTATTTGAAGCTCGTTTGATAATGAGATATTGTTTGTGTTAAGAGCTACGGCTGCGACAGACCAGGACTGGTACCGTCTGATTGAATCTATGTACAAGAAACCCCTCATCAATTTCAATGTGTCCCTACTAGAGACACACAACGTATCCCGTCTCGTTATCAGTGACCTATTTTGGCTCACCGGACACAAGAAGGATGACCTCATCGTAAAGTAGGTTTAACAAATGTTTCCCCTCTTTTGCTTTTTTCATCCGTGATGACATTGGCCCCATTATTTTCCAGGTAAAAATGCTATCGTACATTTAATGTTGTCATATCAATTATTTATCCGTAGTAAATTGTATTTAACATGTTAACATGTCTTAAATGTAAAAACGGCTTCACCCACGTTCAAAGTTGTCAAATGGAACAATATTTGATACTTTATCATAATAATATGTTTAAATACGCCGTTTTGATGTAAAAGGATACAGAATATATATTGTAGAAGAGTAATTGTTTACGTCATTATTAACATAATCCTATTATAGGTTTATTTGCACATCAGGTCTTCATTTATATACAAATTACGATTAAACCAAACAATTGAACTTTCAATTGTCTGTTATTTAAATAAACAAATAACAGAGGAATTAGAATGTGAAACCGATATTCAATATTGTAACTTTTTATAAAATACCGTTGCATTTTTAACTTATTTACCAAAGTCGCTGCCAGGGTTAAAGATATATTTCACCTAATCCTGTCAATCGCAACCGTCAAGGGCTTGTTAGACTTTGTAACGTCACAATGAAAATAATTGAATGACGACACATCACCCATGGTCGACGTAGCAACTAACTATTGGCTTTTACGACAGAGAACATTTTCACTTATAAACTCTTTACAAATTGTTCGGAAATAGTGATCATGTTACTATCGAGTGAAACACTATAAGAAAGGAAATTAATGGGGAGTTGCGATAAACAATATCTTGTTAAATGTTCGCATTTTATCACCAGACTAGCAGGAACTACAGATGTAAAAGTTCTATTTCTGTATTATGTAGATGTTCATGGGGAGATATACCTTGTGGTCCTGAAAACTTCACCGCTGTGCTGACAGATCACGGACTCTGTTACACCTTCAACTCCGACATAGATCCAGCTTCAACTCTAGTAACCTCCTCTTCGGGTACATGATCTAACGTTGGTGGTGATGTAGATATATTCTTCCCTTTATATCTTATTATGTTCTTAGTTGATCTTTCCATGTTGTATGTAATTTTTATAATCATACAAACAGTCTTATAAAAAAATGTGTAATTTCCCCCCCGTTTTGACCCTGAGAACACCGATGGATCCTAAAAGGACGAAACAGCTGTATGGTGCATTTTTACTCAATTTTGTCAAACTGTGTCATTTACAATGTTTATAGGTGAACTCACATGTGTGCGTCTTACGTTCATCTTACACAACTAGCTGTTAGTAATATAGGGGACATTTACATGCATGTATTAATGTGTATATGTTTTATGATATGTACACACTATGTGGTTTATGTAGTTATTCATGATTATATAAATATATAAAAATTATCAAAATAAATACAAAAAAGTGGATACCATTTAGTAATACATTTTTGCTATCCTATTACTGATTAATTATGATTGACTTTTTAATATGAGCATTGTATAGCTAAAAATATCAATTAAATATTTATATGTAATTGAAACATACATGGAATTATCTCCCCTATACCATCTGCTATATATATATATGTCTATGCTACTTATTATATATGATTTGCATCAATATTTTCTTACAAACCATTTCATTCATCTTTGTCTTTGTCATGTCAACCTAAGGAGAGAACTTATATAGGCCTAGCCTGCTGTTCAATCCTATTGTTTACTCAATAAAATATGATGAAATATGAAAATAATACATTGTTACTTCCCACATGCCATTATAGGGTCTGATGCAGGGCTCCGTTTGCTGTTGAATGTTGAACAGTATGAATACATGCCCGGTCCCAGCAGCGCAGCAGGTGTGAAGATCCTCACCCATGGGCAGCGAGATTTGGCCCGGGTCAGGGAATTGGGTATTTCCGTCCCAACGGGCACACACGCATTTGTTGGACTTCAAGTCATAGCAGTAAGTCAGACCAATCATTATCACAAAGACACAAATAATTTTCAAGCACATAATTAGAGATACAAAATCATTCAAAAGCTTAATGAACCTATTTCCAATAAAAAATATATTCTAAAAATAGTTTGTTTTGTTTTTCGTATATGCAAAAAGATCAGACATGGATTTTACCAGCTAACAGAGACCTCATACGCTAATAAATAATTCCACAGTATATGTCACGTAATCGTCATAAAAGGACCAAGTTATTTTATTGTTAGAAAATCAAAGAGATAAGGGTTCTATTTAGATTTGGAGTATTAATTAAAAGAGTTAATAAGACAATTTTGCTAATACCATTTGCCCTGCTGCAATACGCCAAGTGGAGTCAAGAGAAAAAAATACCAAGCCTCTTATTATGGCAGTCGCAAGCATCACACTCAGGAATCATTCTGATTTCTCTCCACAAAATCTTTTCTGCTCTTCTCTCCACGCCACATACAATTTGCATGTGAAATGTTGGACACTTTTACCAATTTGTAAGATAGGTTTACTGTTCAGACATGTGTCTCCAGTAACATTTTAATTAAGTAAATGATTAATGTTGGAGTCGGGATGTCAAAGGTAAGACTTGTATGTAGGTTCCTAAGACGAGTGAATAAGAAGTGATATGAATCAATCGGTAGTATACATTTGCATAAAGGGAATATTTTAGACTGATTGCAATATTTATTCTAGCCTGATTTCGTAGACGATAGCCTCTTTTCTGAAAAAAGTGATTTAAAGTTATCAAAAAAGATAACTCGTTCGAACATAAGTAATATAGATCTATTATTATGAACAGCATTCTTATCGTCTGCCCTCAGAAAACTGTTTATATTGGAAAGTTTCCAATTGTTGGATAAGACGTATCTGTCAATGTAAAATTAAGAACTTTAGAAAGAAAAAAATCTGTCTCTTGTTTTCATTAAACATTGTAATAGTTATCCAGTTTGGACCTGTATTGAGAGAGTATTAAATTGGCTTGTTTGTTAACGCATGGGACAATTCTTTTCTTTAATTGTTACTAAGGTATCAATGTGGTGAAGCTTTTTCATTATTTTCATTTCATTTCTATCTTAGTAACATAGTCTTACAAGTTTCATCAAAGATGTGAGCGATATATCTTTTAAAGTTACAGTCTGTTAGTGTTGAAGTATTGTGGTAAGGATATTTCTCTGACCTAGACAGGTGTATCCACACTATTTCCAGTGTGCGATACATAGAATCCCTCACCCACTTTGTGTGAGATAGGGGAATCGCAACTCGAAGGAGAAGATTTAAAGGTTGCCAAACAGGAAGCTTTGGAAAGTGTTTGGCAACTTTCCTTCTCCGATGGTTTGGATCTCACTACAATGGGGGTGAATTATTCTGTTTACCCTGTTCACCCATTGCGTATCATTCACATAATGTAATGTTAACGTTACAGGTAAAACTCAGGGTTGACGTGATGTTGATTGATTGTTGGAGTGCCATTATTGTATTGTTGACGTGACACATACCATTTTTATGAATAGTCTCAACCCTAACAATGATCTCTCACACCGGTAAAAGTGTGGATACACATGTCAAGGGTAAGATAAATCCTTGTCTCACCCTAGGTTTGAAATGGGGGGATCTCTCAATTCATACTAATGCACCAACGTCACGTCAACAATGCATCAACGTCTCGTTAGCCTGCAATATTAAATGATACAGAATAGGTAAACAAGGTAAAAGAAAACAGTCACCCCCTTGAGGTGATATTTCAAATCTCAACTCTAGGGAAAGATTGTTGCGTTGCCAAACACTCGGCAGAGCCTCGTGTTGGCAACTTATATCCCCCATCGGGTTGAGATTCACCTATCTTACCCCTAAGGAGGTGAGAGAGTATATCAATCATGTGTTATACTTTGACTTTTGCCTCACACCATCCTTACTTTTATTATTAGCTGTCAAACAGGTATATGTGGCTAGGGAATACTGCTGCATTGTTAAAATATATTGTTAAAGAACTTGTATTATATATATATATGTTTATATTTTGATATCTTTATATCAGTAACAATCAAATTTATGATATTTAGCTGGAGAACTTACCCCCACCCCACGGACAGTGCAGTGAGAAGGGCCTGACCTACTTTGATTACTACACGTTTGACTCGTGTCGCCTGGAATGTTTGATGTCGTACATAAATAGTCAGTGTGGCTGTCGCGACTTCTACATGCCAAGCGTTAATGGTAAGCCTTTTCCTTTCAGCAGAAAGTAGTAACCTATCAGCCTCCCCTGATTATTGAGTTTATGAATAATCCACTGCACTAGAGACTCTCTAAGGATCTTCGTACTTCAGTCAAAATTGTATGATGTCGAAACCTTTTTGCCGGCAGGGCTATTGCTTTTATAAACCATTCCTGAAAGCAGTAGGACAATCTTTAAGCGTCAGGAGTTGAATTGTTTAGCGCGAGTTTTCTAATGGAAGAGATATAATGTACACTGAGGCGAAATTGAACTGTTTTGCTCATGATATGATACCTAGCTAGGTGAAAAAATCAGTGTGTCAGGTGACCTTCATACATAGGAAGGTGACGTCATGACAGGTGCCACACTAGGTGTAGGAAGCACTTGCTGTTTCTGTGTCCTCGATTCTTGAATTCTGATGTGTTGTATATGTTCCTATATTGATAAAAGCTAATCATCTTCAATCCGGATCTCACCTACCCGTATTTCGTATCCTATTTTCTAACATTACAATATACCAGCGTACGAGTATGAATAAAGTAATTATGTTATTCCCGCCATCTTGTACAGCAAAATGCCGACACTCCATGAGGGTAGCGAATTTGATATCATTCTCTTTTCTGAGGCGAATAAAATCAAGAACTTTTTTGAAGCCGTACGTACTAGGACCCAAAATAAAGTATTTAGTATTTCATGTTGATTTTTATCAAAATATATCTTAAACACTTTCATAGTTATGTATGCACATAATGGTTTTCTCTTCTTTTTTTTTTATCTTTCAGACGAACCGAGAATATGTTCCTTAAAAGAATATTTCAGCTGTTTTCTGCCAACCAAGCAGAAATATTGTAAGAATAGAAAAAATACATATCAATTCATGAGCAACAATTTGCATAACATAAAATTATCACACGTCAATGAGAATCTTCACGCTAAGATAAGCTATTCCAATTACATTTTACAACCTCATGTTAGTATTAAATTGAAACACGGGCACTATTTAGATGCTTGATTTATTGGTACATAGATTTTGATTTTTGCGTATCCTTTATATGAATGAAATGGTTGTTTGTAACGTTTCTATAACTAGTACGATATGTACCATCTCACCTTTATCAGACAAACGACCGGCAAAGTGACTGTTAACTTTGATGCTTACAATGTATAAGAGACAAGTAGTTTTTGCGTTTTGCAAAAAGGATATACGACCCATTGTTCTCGATTTAGAGCAAGCCACTGCCGATTATCCTGATGACATTCTTTATCGCATAAAGCATGTCTCCTTTTGAATAATCCTGGTCCGACTGTTTCATTTATGACCTGTGTACGTGTACAAGAACTCATTATCATTCTCAACCATGCATTCTGAATATAAACCAACTGTTTTCGTAACTACAATGTAACTCAAATTAAGCGTCAAAACGTCGAGATAGTGAATGCGGTATTTGGCATTAAGTCATTCGAAATTCCGGAAAGAATAATATCGAAATTTCAAAAATTATTACTAAACATTATGTAGAACACAGTTATTTATTTTGAGCATCTTTAATTTGGTCTCGGATCCTTTCTAGAGGTATCAACTTCGGACACGAAACCGTCTTGTTGGCTGTCCGATGTTTGGCGCGTCACAGTTCTTGTCTCCGATTTTGTACACACATTCTCTTACAGTTTCTGTTGCTGTTTAATTGGTGTATCTGGATCTTTCTTCATCATTTTACTCTTGTCCTCCCCTTTTGGACTCTCGCACATATTTAACAAGGTACTAAATAGAGTTTACCAGATTTGATTCGTCAACTTCATAATAATAATAACAATAATGATAATAATAACAATAACAATTCGAGGTTCTTATATACCGCTTTATCTCAACCTAGTTCTTAGGTCGTCTCAAAGCGGTTCACAAATTATTATCCGTGGTTATAGGGCCTTTGCAACCAGCCAATATCTTGCTCAGCTCCCTGGGGAGCATGCAGCAGGTGCTGCTTTTCGGCGCTCACAGCTAGCATTCTATAATTCTAACACTGCCCAACCACGTACTCATTTACAGCTGAGTAGGCTGGAACAAGCGGAGTAAAGTATCTTGCTCAAAGATACAACACATTGCTGTGCCGTGCCGTGACTCGAACCCGCCACCCTTCGGTCATGAGCCCGGCATCCTACCACTAGACTACCATGCCTCCTTAATAGTCATATCGTAAAAAACACACCGTACTAGTCATCGAAACGTTACTCATGATTAGTAGCCCATATGTTTGTGTGCATTTGCTATAAGTTAACGTGGTTTTTACGGCACTTCCGTACCCTATTATAACGTCTTATTCGAGAAATAGTGAATTTGCCACGTGGATAATAAAAGATATTCAAATTTTGTACCTGTTGCTAACACGGGGTTGGATATTCCCCAAAATATACATGAAGTACAGAGCCTCTGTTTCTCTCTTCAGTGTTGTTGGTACAAACCGGAAGTCAACAGTGCACGTGCCCCACGTCCTGTAAATCACTTATGTTCGACCCTACCTTGTCATATGCTACCACTTCCCGTCATGCAGTGGACAAGATTCTTGACAAGGTTATCACGTCAAAAATAACTGAGAAGCTGACAAAAGCAAGGGAGGTAACCCATCGTATGGAGCAGGCAAAGTTGGAGAAATTCCAAACTGTTGTGTCCGCCGTTAACGACTCCTTATCAGCAGTGATGGTCTTGATTCATAAGGATATGAGAAAACGAATCGCTAAACAAGTTGAAAACGTGGAAAAGGAATCTGAAAGAATGATGGTCGCTTGGAAAGAAAAGGACTTTCTTTATAGGTACCAGGAGTATAACGTCAGAAAGAACTTCATACGCGGGAGGGACGCAATGGAAGAAAGAACACTGAACCTCTTATGTATTGGTTTCCATGAGTTTGTGTTCCTAACGGAGACGTATCTTCAGGATTTGGCTTCAGATTCATTTGAGAGTAATGCAGATGGAAGGCTAATTCTTTATACTATACTAGTTGCAAAAATAAATGATCGAATTGAAACTGCCAAGCGTGCACTGTCTAACTATACTGAACTATACAAAGCTTATCAAACAGGGACACCCTTGTTCCGGTACAAATTTCTAGGAGTTGCCAGGAAACACAATCCCATGATTGCACCAAAAATCCTCCTTAACGCTTCTCTATACCACAACCACTACGCAAGGTTACATAGTCCGCGCGTGAAGGATGATATCGAGGCTATTATTGCTTGTTTGCTTGAATACATTGACTTTCTGAACGAGGTAATGCAAACAAGCAGTCTTAACACCACAAGGATGGCTACCATAAGCGAAGACTACGTCGACGCATGTGAGAGGTTTTACCATAGTAAGAGTGTGTTTTATTACGAAAGTATAGAAAGACCTTTAAGAGTGATTTTGACGCGACGTGACAAATTTAACAAAGCAAAAACACAATATTTGGCGACAATTAAGAACATCAAGGACAATCTCTTGCAGTTGGATGGGTCCCTAGAAACTATGTCGAATTCAACGCTACATGTTTTTTCAGATCTAGTTGATCGGGCTGTAGATTATTTCACGGACCAAACGGTAAGGAAACTCGACGTTGCAAAGATGGCGGAAGAGGAAAAGGTGCATACTGCATCTATCAGCTTGAAGATGTTTTTCCAAGAGGTGCGGAGTCGCGGACATGCAATATACGATGGTTGGACTGTCCTGACGCCCACAGGACAGTCCATCTGGAAAATGATTTTAGAAGACGAGGAGATGTTGGATTATTATGTATACAGAAATATCACCGACTTCCTAGCTAACAGTACGAAAGTTTACTATGGACTTGAACTTAACTATACAATACACAGGGACACCAATGATATACGATTTATAGTTGGGCTAAGAGACAGTCACTTCCATAGCTGTTTGGATCAGATGGAGGACCATCTGTCTAACTACGTCACATCAACCCAGGTGGATCATAATGTGATCATGTAAGTTCATTAGGATGTACGCTCCAAATGGGGATCAGTTAGTGATCGTGATTGCTTTTGTTCGTTACGTGATGACTTTGTGGCATACCAGTTCTATTATACTATATAACCCTAATTCCATGACGCGGCGCCCGCCGTTGAAAATATTTCCTTTAGAAAACTATAAGTTAAGAACGAATAGAGGTGATTTGACGAAATTTGGCAAGGTTTAGGGTTATCTCTGTGAAAACGCAACTTCAAGATAATTTGTTGGCATATTGGGATGGAGAGGAAGAGTCCAAACGACGATATAGGGCCAGTCTTTAAGACTAACCCTCGAGAACGAATGAATGAATTTATTCCTTTTTTTGCCGTCCAGTAACCCCGGGCCTAGCGCATCACAACTTTTGTAAATGAATAATAATTTTGCGGGGAACATCCCTTGGGTAATTCAACATTGTATAAATGAATAGTGGGAAAGATATGGAAACAGAAGATCGGGCCCTAAAATGAAAAATGATTAAATTACAAGTTTAGGAATGTTTACCTTATTAAAGATGGGACAAGAAAAAGGACAAAAATGATTACTGGAAAACCAAGAAAGGAAGCACCTGTTTATTTTTGTTGTTGATACAGAAACCAAACAAAGCAATTATTTTACTACATCAAATGGTCATTTCGTCTATTTGTTTCAACTGTAGTTCAGATCAATCGGATCATTTTGATCCTTAGCATCACCGATGAGAAGGAGGAAAACAGCTAAATGGTGCAGGGTAATTAATCTTTCGCATACTGTATAGTTTGCCAAATTTTACAGCGCAGTCACATGTGTTTGTCGTAAGTTCATCTGTAACGTTTCTAGTTTTATTTAGCAATTGTTAACAAAATTCTGAATTTTATCATCTTTATCCAGTCACGTTTTGGCGAAATGTCCTCTCTGGCCTCTGATCGGCTGAGACATTTCCACTTCTTCTCCATTCACATCTTAATACATGATCAACTAATGGCCTGGATTCTGTTGGTTTTTTTTGGAAGCTTACATCTCTCATCTGACTGATTAAGACATTACTTACGTCTTCTCAACTTCCACTAGTCCCGTGATAATCAAACCTGACATGTATTATGTTTCTAAACATGCGCTTTTATTTTTTACTGTTGAATCCAAAAAGGCTACCCTATCCTTTTATTTTGTGTCTAATTTTCGAACATCCTCGATACTCCAATGGTTTTGCTTACTTACGCTCTCATTGTCATTGCAAAATGGAAGGCACGCGGCAAGCTTTTTGATTGGTCTCAGGATAAAACAACTGACCAATCGCTAGGCTGATACCTGTCCTTTGAAGATTACAATGGAGCGATACCAACTTCAAAGACAGTCAATTTTACCGTTACGTGACCGCGAGATTGTACATCTGATGATCAAACTAGCCTTCTTGTATCATGTACACGGTGGCGCACACCAAACTTTTTATTTTTTTCGTGATGTATTCCAGGGGTACAGAGAGCGTAACCCATGAAATTTCAAGGATGCATTATCACAAGTGTATTGTTGTCGTGACCTTTAGAATAACTTTTCATTAAAGTTAATTGACGAAACTGACATTGTATAAGAACTGAATACTTATTTCCGAATCGTTGCTTATTATGTATTGAAAATATGATTTATACTTCCAGAAATAAATACAGTTTTAAACTTACTGGATTTAATAAAGTGAAGTTAAATTTAAATCAAAACAAATTAAAATGAACGTTTCATTTTCTCAATTTTGTTTCATATATGCCTCATAAATCCTATTTATTTCAGGGACAATTATCTACAGCTGGATATATTCTACAGAGAAATGAATTACGAAGAGATACGTCAACAGAAGGCTTACGACATTTTCTCATTATTGTGTACGTATGACATCGCCTCTCAAAATATATTGTTATTATGTATGACGTCATCTCTAATGCAGCGCTCGTTATTATGAAAGACATTACCTCTAACCTTATGAAGAACATTGATATGATATCGCCTCCAATATGCCAGATATCCTTTCAAGTTTATTACTTCAACAGCTATTATAGCAACTGCAAATACAGCAGGCAATTGGGCAATTCTGAAAAATATATTAATTTACATCAATTAAATAAACTTTGGACCATTTGTAAAAACATCATCAACACATTGCTCATTCCCTTTAGCAGTCATACACTGTAAATGATAAAAAACGTTCGATAGATTTGTATTATAAATATAGAATAAATATTAATAGTCTTTGTGGTCATATTGATCTCCTTGTTTCTTTACAGGTGATATAGGGGGTTCGATGGGACTGTTTGTGGGAGCAAGTGTGATGACCATATTTGAAATTATCGACCTGTTTCTAAACCATTCGGCAGAACGATTACTGAGACAGAACAAGCGATAGTCAGTCTGTAAAACAAAAATGTATATATTTTGATAATAAAAAAAATCCACTCAATTCCAACTGTGTTAAAAAGCACTACACTTTGAACGGATCAAGTACAAATAAAATGTATGATTACATCTAAAAAAAAACCAGCCTACCTAATTACCATGCTTTGTTATGATACTTCATAATAGAATCAAATAAAACATATGGTACTTCATTGTATGCAGGCTAAACATTTACTTCAGCTTTGACAACAACATGATTTTGTTATATTCCAATTTGTGAGATGCCATAATTACGACTACTTTTCATTTTTACCTGGTATTATTTACCTAATATAAGAGGACAAATTGACTCAGCATCTAAATCGATAATAATTTTGAGTTATTATTCAAAAGTACTTTTGCTAAAAGTTGCTTATCTTTGTTATTCCAAGTACTGTCAACTTGATGTTACCTCACATTCTACATCAATAACATGACCGAGCTTTATCATTCCAAGAACTGTCAGCTAAAGGTCACCTACCATACTGCATCTACTACACTTTTAACGGATCAAGTACAAATAAAATGTATGATTATATCTTAAAATAAAATGTATGATTACATCTCATGGGCGGATTGGTCGAGTGGTTAACACTCCGGCCTTCCAAGCAGGCGGCCGGGGTTCGATCCCCGAAGTCGCAGTACGCATGGCATATTAGAGAAAGTGTTTTTTCTCCTGCCCACACAACTCCAACAACCCAGGTGGAGTATACAATGGTCTGGGGTGGGTGTTGCGATCTGTGCTGTAGCATTCAAGTGAGGTGACACTATAAATGATACCGTTAGAAGCACGGCCCCACTACAAACAGAGCACAATACATCTCCAGCACACACACATGCATACACACATAGGCAGATACTAACCAGGTGGCATAGGACAAGTAAATTGCGCCAGATAAGGCAGCTCCTGCGAATTCCTCATTATTGTATTGATTACTATATATGCTAACTGTACTGAATGTATAAAATTGTATATCTATGTACTGTAAAACGCTTTAGAGTGGCTCATGTTAGCTAGATAGGGCGCTACATCAAATATTGTATATTTATTTATTATTATTTATTTATCTATGACATGACGAATCCTCACGTTTCTAGTACTGTCAGATTGACGTTACCTAATATACAACATCTATAACATGACAGAACCTTAGTATTCCAAGTACAGTCAGCTTGACGTCAGCTTACTTACTACATCTGTAACCGAAAAATCCTCATCATGACAAGTACTGTCAGCTTGACGTCATCTTAAAAACTGCATCTATAACATAACATAACTTTATCATTCCAAGTACTGTTAGCTTCACGTTTCTTAACATCCTACATGTAAAACATGATCCTTATCATTCCTAGTATTGTCATCTTGACGTCATATCACATATTCCATTTACAACAAGATATGTCAGCTTCTCATTTCCTTACCACATGTCACGAAATACAGTAAGTATATCTCTCAAGTACTGTCAGGTTGGCATCAACTAATATACTATTGAACCTGAAATGCATAACCCATATATTCAAAATACTGTCAGCTTGACATTACTTACCATAATAAATAACATTTAATACAGAAGCTTATCATTCCAGATACTGTCAACTTGATGTCACCTAACATATCATATAACATTAAATAAAGAATTGTATCAATCCAAGTACTGTCATGTTGACGTGTCCTAACCTAACAAAGAACATTAACTGTAACACCTACATTAACCATACATCCGTGTTATTACTTATGTTAATTAGGTAACGCTCAGTACTGTCAGCTTACCATTGCTTAACATAATAAACAACATGAAATATATAACTTATATGTTCACTTGTGTACTGGCCTACCGTAACATAAACATCGATCTGAAAATCCAGATAAAGTCAATGATCACAGTTCAATGGATGAATATAATAAATATATTCATTTATATATTTGTTTAAAAATACATTTGTGTGATATAAATATAATAAACATAATTGAATCGTTACTGATAACAATATCATGCACAAGTTGGACACATTTTCTCCAGTGGTACAGGACTTATTTTTTCTGGCTGTGACAACAATCATATCGTCAAAGTGGATACTTGTGGATACAAATATAAACGAAAACAAAGTGTTGAAATAAAAAAAAACATTCATTTGAAATGCGTCATCAATTTGGCAGAGCCATCGACCTTCAACAACACTCCAGATTCAAATTTCTCTTTTTCACGGGAAGAGAGTTTACAGTCGATAATTTCATTTCACAGATACGGCAACACCTGGTTAATTAAACTTATCTGATCCAGAAAAAAATACATCAAATTATCCAATATTTTAGTTAAATAATTATCATTATCACATCTGAACCATTGTGTGATTTAATTGACATTTACATGACATCAGTGTGTCAACCAACACAGGAGATTTTCTGAGGTGTCTACTAGTAATCTAAATATGAAAGTGTTCAACCCTGGAACACTCCATGAACAAAATCACTGCAAAAAAAATCAGTTTAAGTAAAACAGGTTCTTAATTAACAGCCCCTGTACTTGTTATTATCCTTCAAATGTCTAAAAACCGAACTACATGTATTTCAACTGAGGCAATGAACTTCTAGTGAAAAAAATCAACATTTTATTAATAAGTCATGAAAACTAAATCTTTCTGATGCATTTAACATCTTATAAAGATAAAGACCTACGTTTGAAGCTGGCATAATGTAACTAAACTGGTACAAGATATCTAAGGAAAGAAAGCTGAAGTTGGTGAATATTAACTGCACTTGTTGCAAGTTTAAGGAAGTATGTCTGAGGCTGACTTCAAGTAACTCCACTGGTACAAGGTATCTGAGGAATGTAGTTTAAGTTGTTTATATTTATTGCACTTGTTGCAAGTTTAAGTACAGTTTTACAGCTTGATACGATTCTGGACCTCACAGGAACAGTTTGGACATTTCTTGGCCTTTCGACCACCACACTCATCACATGACAAACATTGATTGGAGGGAGGTGCTACAGGCTGCACTTTGTGTCTAAACATCCGTAAAAAGATTAAAAAAAAATAAAAAAAAATTGACTCTCAACTGTGAAAGTTGCTGATTGTAATATAATGAAACTTAACGGAAAAATAGAGAACTCGAAATTGTTTTGTATCGTCTTAATTGGTATCCAAACCTCTTCGGAAAAAGTACTGCGTATGCATTTAGCAAAATTATAGTTATTTCAATTTGTGCATTTGTAATAAAATAAATCAAAGCAAAAATAACTACTTGGAACGGAATAGTGACACACATTCAATCGTAAAATTTGCTGACGTTGCTTTCCAGGTGGGTTTTTTAGCGCGTCGCATCACAATGAAGGTTTAATTTAGTTTAGTTTATTCAATTTCTGAATTATTGATGTTCAGTTTTAATCTTTTATCCGTAATTTGTTCCAGACGATTTAGCGTTTGTCGTTTTACTTGTGGCAGTAAAATACCAGATCTGAAACTTGAAACAGATGTGCGAGGAAACATTACTAAGTTCTTTGAATGTTGACAAAACTGTACGCGAGGATGTCCTCCTAAGGTGCTTAAACATGGCGAAGAATTCAAACTGTTTGCTTCGTGGACTAAATGCCTACAGATATGTTCAAAACAACATTGTCTTTACAGGCACTGCAGCGGAGTCCAGAATATGAAAATGTTTTTGAAAAGTTGGAGGCATTTAAAGGCAGCGGAAGCGGGGCTGGGGTAGACAATCCTCCTCTTGTTTCTCCCTCCATTCAAAAGTCTAGCGCCGCGCCAGTTCACCAGGGATTTGGAAACCCCCGTCGTGAGAAAAATGGCGGTTCCCTTACCTCCTTCGTTGACGACCGAGGTAAAAAATCGATGACAAACATACAGACGCAAACTAAATATTGACAACGCAAGAATAGTAAAATTGTCTACATTTTATTATTTATCATCAGTCAAAGCTAGCTTAATAGCGTAAATATATTAAGTGTAAATACAAATAATTATAATATGGCAGCATCTTCAAACTGACATTGTAAATATTAAGTGGAAATACACGTTGTAAAAACGTGTTGCTCAGAGACCACCATAGAAATTAAACGGTATTACACTCGACAATATAAATTATTGTCGGTTATCTTAAGATGTAACAGGTACTCGTATATCAAAATCAAAACTTATACATATTAAACGATCTTCCATGTTCGCTTGTTAATATCGTTAATGAATGAAGACAACTTGGGTGGTCGGGTTTTGAAAGAATGTTTAAACGGTTTTTCTTAATTCCTCGCATCTCATAGAAACATTTCAACGTTTCTATAAATTATCCCCACGACAAGGAAGTATTGTATGCCTGAAAAACATTTAATTTTTCTCTAAATTCCCCATATCTCTGTGAACGACTTTCACCTGTTCTCTTAATTTTCCGTATGTCTTAGAAGCATGTTCCCTCGTGGACTCCTCACTGTAGCGTTGTTATCGTAAACTGTCGCACCACCTACTACTGTAGTCTTCACAACGCCCTGCAATTGTCTCCCTTCGTATGGCGTTAACTGGATAAGAAATTATCGTGTCAGTTGTGATTACATGATTTTTTTCAGCGATACTTTTATACAGAATTGACTTCAAAATAATATGCTTGATAAGAATTTCAAAATACCGTCTATGGAAATTTGAATGAATAGGCGGGAAATGGTGTGGCCTAGACCAATGTTATCATATCTATTGTAAGGTTTTGTATTTAATTTTTCAAGCCGGTATGAATTTTGTCGAACTGCAGATAACTGAAGATCTAAAATCTTTAGCCGTCAAAATGAGGAAAGAACGTGTATCTGGGATATCACAATCTATATATATTTAAGCATTGAACTGTTTTTGTATGGTATTTATGATCTATTTGAATGACACAGCTTTGCAAGCAAACAACATAATGCGCGCTGATTGGCAAACAATAGAACTCTGAGCTGAAAGTTAGATTTGAAATTGTTTCGCTTTTTTCCCCGGAACAAATTTAGCGCATGGATAAATACAGTGAACGCCGTAAATCCGACCTTGCCCTCCACGAGGGAGTTATTTTTGGAAGTTAATTTGAACTTTTCTCTTTGCTCATTTTGAGAAGAATCCAGACGTGAATTTATTTGTTGATTGTATGGGAATATGACTACAGTCTGTAGATTCTATAACAGCCTCATTATTTGACATGTCGTCAGAAACTGAGGAAACAGTGGCTGCGAGACGCGTGAAACTGATAGCGTTTGAAGTGAGTGATCTTGCGGCCAGAGCACAGGGGTTCATTACAAATGTCTGAAATGTTTATGTGTGCTGTGACTCATATCAGTAGGTCTGTAACACATGTGTCAGTAGGTCTATAAAATATGTGTATTTCAGACATTTGTAACGAACCCCTGTTGATCAGTTCAGTGTAACAGACGATTTTTTTGATAAATTGCATGAGCGTTAAAATTGTATCCATTGCCGGCAATGGTGATTTCAACCGATGTGCATTTTGTACGATATTGCAGACCTTGGTCTTGTTTTTGTTGTAATAAAAGTATTTTTTATTTTATTTTTTATTTTGCACATTGACATTGTCAAATCTCACAATGCCTAGCGATATATCAGCAGCCGTCATGTTTATTTACATTGGATATTGTATTTCCGGTCAGTGTTGTATTAATACGCTAAGAATTATGTCTCGTTCTGCAGGGTAATTAAAGTCCCATCAACGACACAGCTTTCAAAAAGGCTATATAGTGACAATGCCATGCAAATGTAAATATATATATATAAATGTTAATAACATCAATTTTATGATGAAATCACAATTTACTTCGCAACAAAGCTATTTGTTGTATCTGATGAAAATTTGAAAGAGTATATACTGAATCATTTTCATTTGATCATATATCAAAATAGTCTCCTCACCTTATTTTTATGACGAATCATTCCGATTGTTACCTGCATTAAATGTAAAATATATTATGTATCATTCTTGTTTGAAAATAACCGTTATGATTAAGCGTAACATCGAGTTCTCCTAAACTTACTATGACCTAGAAAGTAGAAATTGTAGTTACGTCACACAAGTAACTGCCAAAGGCATTGAATCCACTAGGTACTGCAAGTTTCTTTATATAGTTTCTTTTAGCATATAATGTGGGTGCGCCAATTCATCAATGCGCTTATGTGTTAAAATTGAATAACACGTTAAAATTTGAGTCCACTAAAATAAGCACTTTTACAGTATTTTTTTTAAAAAGTCTCTGACATATCCTAACGTTGCAGTTACAGTCACGCCAAAGACTATTCTAACCAAGTGAAATATTTATTAATATGCGAACGTTAAATTTGTGTCTACAAAATAGTGTTTTATAAGTTAACCCCGATAATGTAATGGCAGAACTACATGGTGAACATGAACCGCTTCTAATGTAAGACAATTAAGAAATTGAGTATACTTGATTGACAGAAAACCATTTGCATATTCACATATAACAATTTCCCATACATATAATATATTTAACGTAAAGACTGTAATTGATAAATTTCATATCGGTGGGTATAGCATGCAGTTGTCATAATGAAATATTAAGGTAATATTACCTTATTGTATACATCACACTATTCCTATATATTAAGTGTATTTTCTTAATTATTGATACATAAATACGAAAATAAAGCCTTAATTCAGCGAGTTTTGATGGCGAATAGGAAAATATTTCATACGATATTTCCCACCAAATTTGAATGAAGCTAGCTTAATCTTAACATTATTTCTGCAAGATTATTTCACAGCTCGTAAACCCTTTAAAACTCACCTGAAAATGAAAAAAATATGTATTCCTGTACAAATATTGCAGTATATTGGTATTGGAATATCATTGTCCATCCCTTGTTTTATAATAAAACAATTTACCTGGTACGATGCTTGTGGATCCCAAATGACGAAGTCTGCGTCATATCCGGTTTGAATGGCGCCTTTCCTGTGACCAAGTCCCGCTAGTTGGGCAGTGTTACAACAAAGTAGCCTCACAACATCGTGCAAGGTTAGATCATACTTTTGGCAGGAAGTCCAAAATAAAGATAAACCTGCAAAACATGTTCAGTACAAAGTTAATAACAATTGATGGTACACTCTACAGTAATGACTGGTTGTTTGGTTTGATAAGTAAACAAATGGAATGTAAAAAGGTTGTGTAACTGGATTCGGTCTTTTGTTGGTAGTACCGTTCGTCAAGATATCAGCGCATGTTTCTTCAACAAATTATCCAGTTAAAAACTATTTTGTTATCTTCTTTTTTCAGCATTTACACTCAAATATAGACAACAAAAACGTGCCCTGCAATCGGTAAGTTATACATTCAGAAAAATAACGGACAATAGCGCTTGTACTGGAAAGTATTTTGCAGTTTTCTGTGTCTTCTTGTACTTACAATATTTAATTTTACGTGCATACAATGCTTACCGCTACAAAGATTTGTGTACGTTTCTAGCTGATTGTATTTAGCAGTGTAGCAACCATGCACGATTAGGACTAAACCAGAATATCTCTATATTTGTTAGGTATACGCCGTTTACGAGATATAAGGTTCCGGAATAAATCGGTAGCAAATAAACTTCGTCGAAGTAAAACATTGGTAAATTTGGACGAATATGGCTGAAATTTCACATAATTCAGAAAAGGGTCATCTGATAACCCTGTTGTTAGACATGAATCGAATCCGGACAAAAAAGGAAATCGGATCGGTAACGATGTACATTGTATTACACGCATTTATGTCATACTTTTGCTCGAAGTAGTCATACTAACCGAACTGAACAGAGGCGATCCCACCCCAAGCCGTGGTGAAGTCTCCTGTGGCGAGCTCTTTGAGGTCCGGGGTACAGGGCGAATGGTCGGAAACTACCATGTCTATGTGTCCACTTTGGATCCCCTCCCATAGTGCCTCCTATATATATATATATACCGGAGAGTACGGATACATTCAAGTGTTATTACCAACTTGGTGGTACAATGAGATTGAGCATAGTTACAGCAGAGAATACCAAAAGAGACCACAAAACTTTAATTCGGGTTCAAATCGATAAAACTAGGGCAGAATTTAAACATGAAAAGAGTTTTACATGGAAGCTCTTGAAAAACTACATGGAGAATAAGACCAGATGTTCCTGAAGGGAAAGCGCGTTTGTACTATTATGCTTCGTATATGTTCATAATTCGTTTAAACCAAATGGATGAGAAATGCTTCAATCATAACCTCTTCTATTAAGTATCAACCATGCAAGTATAAACAAAGTCCAACCATGAACTTGCTACATGAGGTAATTCCAAAATATAAATAACGCCCAACCATGAACTTGCTACATGAGGTCATTCCCAAGTGTAAATATAGCTCAAACATTTGTAACATTTGTTAATTTTGAAGTTCACAAATAGCCCACATACATGTACATATACATGTATGTGGGCTATTTGTATATATATATATATATATAGCTTTACTGACCTGGTTATGTTTGGAGCGTATTGGCGGACAGCACTTGTACTGAGTGGCGCCCCCTGGTACATTCTCCGCCTCCAATGACAAGTAGTGATGGCATGTCTCAACCGTAAGAGGCGCCCCCTGGCGTTTTGCCTCTACTATTAACGGGAGGGCAGTAGCCGAAGACAGGTGGACGATATGACACTTCACCCTATGAAAACAATTGTTATATTATACAAATTCTGGGTTTATAACATCCTTTTTGTTCAGTTGCGATAAAGAAATCAATTTGATCCGACTTTTCTTCCAAAATCATTTAACGAATGTATTAGATGTAAACTTCTGCACCGAATCTTAATTATTAGTTTCGTGATCTTAATTTCAATACTGTACCTTATTATATTTTATCTCAACAGGAGATACGTACTAAGCATCACTCACATTTTACATGTGAAAGATTTACTAATAAACATCTCCCATCTTTACACGGGAAGAGTGGTTACTGGAATGAGGTATCACTTGTATTTTCAGCGTAGACATTTGTTAAATGGGTTGGATACATCACCCGTACTTTACACATGTGATTTGGCTTTAATGAGTGATACATCATCTGCATTTACACACGCAAAGAAATGTTAAATCGCCCTTTCTGTTCACGTGAGAGTATGGGTATGGGGATGAGACATCTGTAGTATTTTGGCCATACAAGTATTGTTAAAGGAATTGGAGTGTTGCCAGCATGTTAAGCACAAAAAAACCTTTGTTTGACAATGTCGATACATTACCTGTATTTTAGACAGAGTTCGCACACCAGTTTAATGGCTTCAATTTCCATAACGTCTGGACGAGAATCTAGGAATGTCTGATATTCCTTTGGTTCACCTGGAAATACGTTTGATAATGTCAAAGTAAATAATGTATAATATACTATGTATAAGGTATATTTTTCTATATGATAAATATACACTTTAAGTTTGTAATTTTGTACTGGAACTTACACGTAACATCGCAAAAGTTACGACAATTAATACAGATGTTTCATTCTAAGCAACCTTGATAATCCATCGGTTATTTTCACTATCGCTCTCTGCACCCCTGGAATATGCAATGACAAAATTGAAGGCTCATTCTGTACCATATTGTGGATGAAACAAATAAGACTAGTTTGATTCTTTGATGTACATTTAAAGAGAATTTTCCTTTCGCGTAACGGTAAAATTGACTGGCTTCGAATTATGGTGTTGCTCCATTCTAATATTCGAAGGATAGGTATCACCTTAGAGGTTGGTTACTAATGCTTACTTGAGACCAGTCAAATAAATATCTTCTTCCCTTCAATTTTGCTTTGAAATATTCCAGGGTGCAGACAGCACAGGTGAGTGGAGTATCGGCGATGCTTTCTATGTCTTTTTCCAGATATTTCAAGATATTGGATTTCATTGCATTAACATGCATGGTAGCTTGTTCATTTGTATGGCAGGGGTATGTTGATGCTGCTATCTCTTAAAAATATTCTTAATGTTTCCACCTATATGAAGTGACTTTAGAAGTTTTTACTACAAAGACAAGGAATGAATGTAAAGAGTTGATGGTTAACCAGGATTGGTATGGTTTGTTTGGGTTCATGTAAGGACGTGCCAGGTTTTGGTGGTGGAGGAAAGCCGGAGTTCCCGGAGAAAAACCACCGACCTACGGCTGGTACCTGGCGACTGCCCCACGTAGGCCTCGAACTCGCGACCCAGTGGTGGAGGGCTAGAGGTAGCAGAATGAATGTCAGACGCCTTAACCACATGGCCACCGCGGTCCCTTGATTAACCAGGAACCGTTATCATGGTCGCTATAGCAAAAAGGCAACACGATCAGGAACCATCTATTTTTATAACACACTCACCTGCCGTAGGTGATCCACAGGAACAGTCCATCTCGGCATGAAACTGCAAGACAAGCAACCTGTCTCTTGTAATACTTCTTTAGTTAGATATTATTCTCGTTCTAGAAACAATCTTCAATTCTAACTTATGTGCAATAGCCACTTGAAATACAAAGCACAAAAATGATATTTTTAAAAGTTGAAGTCGATAGAGAAATCCAAATAAGGTCTTCATTCACTACACCATATGGCGTTTTCGTCCATTCCAGGTTCATAAATAAAAGTCATTTCAAAAGTGTCTTCAATAAGATTCATCAGTTTGGAAATATGTGATATCAAAGTTATACTTTCTGCACAAATATTGTATGCATTAAACGTGTCGCAACGTTTCAGTACCAACTGGTCCCTTTGTCAAACTATGAACACTTAGCTTAGGATCCAGTCGGTCTTGAAACGTTGAGACACGTTTAATACGTGCATTGTTTGTGTAGAAAGTAAAACCCATGTCTGAAGTGTTCCGAAACATGAAGAAATAATACAAAAGGAAAAGGTGTTTATAAACCTTTTATACCATACTTCTTAACAAATTTTTTTGCCAGAACATATAATACGATGAACTCAAACTAAGAGGTAAGGCTAACCCCAGGGACTAGTAGTCCACTACATTGTGACGTAAAATTATCACTTGAAATGCGATGTATACTTATTTAAACAACATTTTAAGTCTCTTTGTGTTCATTTGTTTTCATTTATAATGATATAAAAGAGAAAACATGCACGACAGCTACAGTGTATAACACATTTGGACAAATACGAATTAATTCGATACCATGTGATACAACAGTAAATCAGTGGAAGAATGCTTGTGTCTCGTATACTTTGTCTTAAATTGCATCAATACATTCATACTCAGCAGGTAAATGGTCTGATATCAATTCTCCTCAGATGTTGTGATTTTTTATGTTTGTTAATGGATAGTCACATAAACATTACCAACAGAAATTTAAATCTATTTGCTTATGTCTTCAAATTAGCTCAATTCAGGTGTGATAAAACACCTTATTTATTAGTTACACACAATTTCTATAATCAGATATAATTAAATGTAAGCAGCTCACATGTATGATATCGTACTAAAATAATGTGCAAAGATATTTTTCACGAATTTATGCTGTGTCTTTGTTTAATTAAGAAATGAAAGTAAGAGGATACTATCTTACCAAAATGACTGCGTCTGTATCCTGAAGGATTTCCATGGCAACTTCAAGGTCGGAGCGTGTGACGGCGGGAAAATCGTCCACCCCGCTGTGGATGAGGAAACACTTGAAGCCAAGAACACCTGCATTTAGCATAGGTCGAAGTTCATCCTAAATTAACAAACGAAGGTAACAGACACAGTTTATTAATATTTCCATGATAAAATATCATTGTAGGAGTGAAAATATTTATATCACAGCAGTCAATTGATCGTACATAACCATATAGGGAAGATAGCAGTATTGTAAATGAAGTTATAACAACAACTGAAGTTTGAATTTTAAAAAATAAGGTAATACATCTATCATTCTGCTGTCAATTTCCCATATGAAATGCATTCAAGCAACTCTTCGTTTTCAGACGATTTTGTACGGCACACGACAGTCTACCACTCAAGGGAAACCAGACAAAAATTTGATAGGAATATATCAAAGCAAGAAAAAATATACAGAATTATTTGCATTCCAGATACATGGGAAATAGACAATCTTCTCCTATTTACAGGTGATATTAGGTGTACATGGTATGAAAGGTTGACGATATCAACGCAGTCTAGGAGTTAGTCAAGTCTCAACTGCCAGTTATTGTTATGGTTTTGAGATGTGCATTAATGCATACTGATGTTCGCGAGAGATTAATTTTCTTACATTAGTTTACGAGGAGATTTATTTTAAAAAGCAAGCACTACACACCTTTTGTTCGGCTGTTAGTTTCCCATATGAACGCTATTAAAGTAACTCATCATTTTCTGATTTTTTACGGTAAACTACAGTTAACCACTCAAGGGAAACCAAGCTAAAATTGAATAGGAATATCAAAGCAAGAAAAAAAGACGCGAACCTGACAGAAATATCAGCATTCCATTTACATGTGAAATAGACACTCTTTTCTTATTTACAGGTGTATAATGTTAACATTGTATAAAAGGTTGACGATATCAAATATGCATATCAATGAAGGAATCATGACACATCTAAGAGTACATTCAAATTTCAACTGAAGATAATTGTTCAGCCCATATCAGATTATATTTTATTTATTCATATTATTGCATTAATACATACTGATTTAAGAGAGAGATTAATTTTCGCATTAATTCACGAAGACATTCATTCGCGAATTTTGATCTTTCGATGAAATTATTGTAAAAGACGATTAATATTAATATTGAAAAAGCACGTTCTCAATCGCAAGTTCAATTATGAGCGAATTCTTTTGTTTTGCGAATATCAGGTAACTCCATAAAATGAATAAAAGAATATAATATTACCATATTGTACAAAAAAATCTCAATATTTTGAAAATTGTGAATAAATTGTTGGGAAATCAGAATGGTATCCAATGGTTTTACTTTCATAACATTTCTATAGCTTAAATTACTGGAAGCGGATAACATTGATTAAATGTTTTTTAAGAGAAATAACGCGTACATATTTCACATAAATAATGTGTTAGGTAGCATGTATCCTTAACTGAATGTCACTCTATGAACTTATGGCCAGATGTAGAAGATGTTATCAGTAAGGAATGTCCAAGACAACTTGTATAGAAGTCAGAGGAGACCATACCTGGTTATTTGGTACTATGCCTCCCCAGAACCCGACGTCCACAAAACATTTGTTTTGAGCATATTCAAGCTTGGTCGCAAACGCCGAGCAACTGGTTGTTGACGGTATACAGTTTCTGTATAAAAGAGTTACCTCGTGTCATTTGTCAGCACAAATAGAATGTATGAAGCAACTCCTATCTCCATAATTAATAAAAAGAACGTGCTATCATGTCAACACACAATGGCGAAACAAGTCTTGATTAGATTATTATTTAGAATTCGAGCTCTTTGATGGTCTGGAGCGTCAACTAAATTCAACAGGTAGTCTATTGATCACATAGAAATTCTGTATTGAACAAGATCGGATAAATCTATCTCAAATTCGGGTTCGCCTCTTGTTGAGGATCTAGCCCGAGTTTCCTCTGGCCCTAACACCAGACATTTACACCAGACATCTATCTGTCAAAATGTCTGGTGTTAGGACACGAGCTATTCGTTTAGTTTTAACATTTTTTCTTCATTTCGTATTGAATCTGAGATTCGATCATACACTTGACGCGGTGGTAGATATTGCCATTTTGCGGTTGATGTTATTCTTGGGTGTTAATACTGTGATGCAATTATCCTTGTGTGTTGACGCTATGGTGCACTTTCCCTGTGTGTTGATGCCGTGATATACTTCTGCTTTTATTTCAGTATATAACAGGGTGGCTACTGCTAACATAACAGTATTTACTACTGATTGTCATGTGGATTAGTTGGGGGGGGGGGGATCATAACATCACCAACAAAATATAACAAAGCTCAATTTACTTGTGTTGTCAAACGTAACACTTTCTTTACAACCATGTTGATTCCGAAATACCATACTTTGTTTTAGAAAATGTAATTTATTAAATTATCACAATCGTCACCATTGCCTTATCATGTGTATTTGATATGTTGCAGAGAATTTTATGTAATTCTTGGCAGTATTTCATTCCTATTCCTCCGCAAGATTATCCAGTTTGAAATCTCTAATAGAACTAGTTCACAGAATACTTATTTTTAGTTGTCCTTTTACCGATCTGTGATTTCCCTATATATGTAAATTCACAATCTTAACAACAATATGTGTAGCTGTCTGTGTTTAAAAAGCTTGATATCGAAAAGTTTAATTCGCAAAATGAACAATAATTTCAAATTCAATTTAAAGGTTAAAAGATTGAAAAATATATCTCAAGAAATCAACATGGTTCATATATTTAGTATTTCATAAAAGCTTTATCCTTACAGTGGCATGTCGACAATGGTGGTTGTGCCACCCACAGCCGCCGCCTCAGTGGCCGTCCAGTAGCCCTCCCACATTGTCCTACCCGGCTCATTGACGTGCACGTGGCTGTCCACCACGCCTGGCATGATGACGTCATTTCCGGCATCCACTACCTAATATGGTGGTAAATGAGACAATATTAGTATCATGTTTTGCCACAATTGTAATCTAAAGAGTTAAACATAGAAGGAATGACTGATATATATTTAACACAATCATGTGGCTGTGAGAGTATCCTTACTCAAGCATATATTACATCGTTATCTCCTCTAGAAAGTCCATATGTGTGAATGACAATTGTGTGCGTGTGTTTGCTTGAGTTAGTCTGCTTGTTATGGGTCAGTATTTCTAATGGCGGATTTATACTTAATTCAATTCAAATCAATAATTGTATTGCTCATTTATAGTTACATAGTAACTTGAAGGCAAATAACAAAACAACAACTATACAAAGAAACTGCAATAGTGAATTTAGTTTGGTTTAGTTTACTTTTGTTTAACGTCATATTAACCTCTAAGGTCATTTAAGGACGTGCCTTCATGTGTGTAGTATATGCGTGTTTGCGTGTGAGTATGCAGGAGAAAGTGTATGTTGACGTACTTGCCTTCTTGTGATAGCGCGGATCTGATGCCGACTTTATAGTGCTATTTCACTAAAATGCGATGCCGAAGGCACCAAGCACAGCATTACGCCCCGTCACATTATACTGACAACGGGTGAACCAGTTGTTACCATTCCCCTAAATGCTGAACGTTAAGCAAGGAAAAACAACTACCATTTTAAGGACTTTGGTTTGTCCCGGCCTGGGGACAAAACCCAATGCCTTCCTCACCTGTGCGGACGCTCAACATTCAAGCCAAAAGTGCGGTGTTGCCAAGCAAGACGCTAGGAAATAAAAGGTAGTTAAAAGTAGAAAAAAAAGATAAAGAACCCAAATATTGCAATGGCCGCAGCAGATTTATTTTTGGTCGCTTTTGTGTCCCGAAATCGAGGACACCAAAGCTAATCCCCAATTCTGAAGGGGTTTCCCACATTAGTTGCCTCCTACGATACATGCAGTGGGTAACAGTAGGTGCATTCTTTTCTCAATCCCCCATCTACAGGGGTGCTGTAATATTGAACAATATATAAACTTAGACAGAAGCCGGGCCCACACTCCTCAGTTCAGGTGACTGTTTTATGTATAAGCACGAGTCAAGTAAAATTTGCATATTGTCAGAAGATAAAATATGTGTTAAAGTATTTGTCTAGTATAGAAGAGTTTTGAAGATATTTACTTAAATAGCCCTTTCTCAGCTGTGCAATGTAGCCACTCCTGAAGAAGAAGTGTTCTTCATCTTCTAGAACCAGATTTTTTTTACGTACTCTTTGCTCTCGAGGTTTTTTTCTTGACCTTCCTATTGCTAGTTCAAGGTTATGCTCACACAATCTTAATTTTGTATACAACATTCTTAACTTTTCATTAGTGATAGATAGGTATATTTGTTTTGGTGTATATTTTCTTAACATCTTTATATAAGTATAGTTTATTTTTATTCGTCATCGATTGTAGTTTCCTGAAATGGTTGGTTTCATATTCTCTAAAGAAAATGTGAGTTTTAATTCTCTGTTTCATTTTCTTTTTGCAGATACATTAATTTAGTCATGAAGCCCATTTGTCCCCACCACGTCTTTGGTGTATAAACACAACTCTCGTGATCATCTAATATAATACTGAGTGTTAAGGATTCTGTAACCAAGGGATTTACAAGGTTTAATACTACAGCACCGAAACCACAACAAAAAATACGGTATACTCCAATATAGGCAGGTGGGGTTACACTATGTTGAAAAACCCTCAGGAGTTCATGTTACAATAACGAAGAAAAATTATCAAGGGTAATGTCGTGATAACCAAGTTAAAGTTTGAAAGTGTCGAAGCTAGATATTTGGGTAATCAAGTTATTAAAAGCCAACCTCCTATTAAATAAAAGGACAAAATAAACTTTACGACATGGTCCTCTATATACTCCTTATACGTACCAAGGCAAACACAACACAACACAACACCTAAATAGCAAATAGCTGCTCGACCGATAGCACGGACGGAGTCGGCATTTATTCATAAATATAATATGAATATAATGAATACGCATTAACAAAATAACTACTCTGACTTCATTTACCGTACACACAAAAAATTCCTCCCATATATACCCTCGCATGGTTCATCGCCCTACATCTCTTAACGTAAAACCAAGCGCGCCAACCAACCTGAAAACCTTATTAGGCGCGACAGGAGGTGTACCAGCCCGACAACGCTTAAGTTTTTTTTACAAAATTGATGCTGGGATTTCCTAAATATGACGATGCCAACACAAACATCTGTTACATAAACATAAATTCTGCTATAATTTTATTTCAAGCTGTACTACGCCGTGCGAGGTGCTAAGCTAGAATGAACATACTGTAACGAGCGCGCGTCCGGTGCCCACGTCTCACCGGCCGCCGTCGAAGAAGTATGGGGTTCTTGTTTCACCAATATAGTGTGCTTCCTGGATCCACGATTATCACGGTCGAATATGTTATATCTCCTNACGTAAGCAGTAAAGCCTAAACCCAAAGTATGAGAGATTCCTAAGTCTGACCTGTTCAGAGGCGACCGTCTGCCAGCGAAGACAGTGATGAACTAAAGAAAAAGGTCTGATCCGACCTGTATTTATAACCTTCCAAATATTACTACTCAGGAGAGGTCTGGTGATCAGACGGGAGAGGTCCGGAGACACTTTCTCATAGGATTGCATGTAAAAGTAATAAAACCTTATCACACACGGCCTCTCATAATATCCGCTCAAACAATAAGTGCTTTACATTAAAATAATGCTACAGAGTATAAAAATACATGTAAAACTACTATTTAGTGCCGCTAAGGTTACGGATTAAAAAATATACTAAGTTTAGGGAGTTACGTCAGACACCGGTAAGAGTTATCGAAACGCTTGAGAGGTCGTCGAGAGAGGTCCGAGAGGCGTCTCCGACTGACTAAACATCTAAGACGTCGTTAAAAGACATAAACAGTATCCAAAAAGGTTAGCATACTCTTTTAAATATCATAATTACTTATATAACTAATGCCCATCAATCTACAGTGACTTACAACCCTAGAAAGTTAAAGAATCAATGTAAGTAGTTTCGAGCATCTCGCATAGTCAGCTTCCAAAATGGCGGTCTTAAGAGGTGTTTGAGATTCTAACGAGTGGTCGATTTAACACGAAATTAGCAGGGAAGTCAGAAATCATTTCTATAATGTTCCGTAGTTGTAATTTGAATAATCAACCTTTAAAACTTATGTACAAACACATTTTGGACTAATAAATGGACTTTGGTGTTATTTATGTAGTGAAAACCCGTCACACAGGCGCACGGCGATATGTAAACAAATCGGCTGCAGGGCCGAGACAGCGGTGGTTGAAATCACCCATTTTAGGCATTTATACGGGGCTGACACGTTACATTACCCCCAACTTTGAAAAACTGAACGTCCCGTTCAGGTATATAAGAAACATACATGTATTTAAAAGTTAACATTATACAACATATTACACAACCGAAACATTAACTAGGCCTAACTGTATAATATAGGAATGTGAATGTATTCGAAATTAAGCGCCATATCAACACTGATATCTCACTCGCTCAGACTCACTCAACTGTTTGTATATTAAATACAGAAAAATAAACCGGAGCTGTGACAGAATTCCGGATTGAAACAAAATAATCTTAACACATTTTTAGGTCACCCGAGACAAAGTCTCAAGTGACCTATTGCGATCGCCTTTTGTCCGTCGTGCGTCCGTAAACAATTTACATTTTCGACTTCTTCTCCAAAACCCCTGAACCAATTTCAATGAAATTTTGCAGGGACCTTCCATGGACAAAGGTCAACAAAAAT